ATAATAAATAGCCCACAAAATAAATTTAAGGTAGAAAATATTTAACAGAAAAATCTGGTTGAACCTTAAAAAATAAATAGGTCTCTCTCTCTTTCTTAAAAAAATAAAAATAAAAATAATAAAAATTGGCACCACGACGTCAACGGCAATGAATAATTAAAATAATATAAAAAAAATAAAACCTTTCAACCATTAAGATCGTGGAAATATGTTTTCGATTTAATGTGAATGTTCACTCAATACTGCAAACAGCTGTTATTTAAGAATTTAACCAAAATTCATAAATCTGTATTTCTGCTGTGATTTATTGCTGGTGCTTTTCCATGATCACACATTGATATTATGACCTTTTTTTTAAAAAAAACCCCAAAAAAAACAACATTATTATTATTATTGGTGCTCCCAGCGTTGGTAACGTGACCTGTCACTAAAGTCACTGACTCAGCTCCCCCTGACTCCTCCCGTCTTTGTCTGCAGGTCTGGTTCCAGAACCGACGCGCTAAGTGGAAGAAGCGCAAGAAGACCACCAACGTGTTCCGGGCTCCGGGGACTCTGCTGCCGACGCACCATGGTTTGCCTCAGTTCCCATCCGCAGCTGCGGCAGCCGCGGCTATGGGCGACAGCCTCTGCTCCTTCCACGCCAACGACACCCGCTGGGCCACGGCAGGGATGCCTGGCGTGTCTCAGCTGCAGCTCCCGCCCGCTCTGGGCCGCCAGCAGGCCATGGCGCAGTCCCTGTCTCAGTGCAGCCTTGGAGCCGGACCACCGCCCAACTCCATGGGTCTATCCAACATGTCGTCGAACGGCTCTGGGCTGCAGTCGCACCTCTACCAGCCCACTTTCCCCGGAATGGTCCCCGCGTCTCTATCCGGCCCGACGAACGTGACCGGGTCGCCTCAGCTGTGTAGCTCCCCGGACAGTGACGTCTGGAGAGGGACAAGCATCGCCTCTCTGCGCCGCAAAGCGCTGGAGCACACAGTATCTATGAGCTTCACCTAGTGACGACGGTCAGCGCTACGAGCTTTTCTTTCACCAACTACAGAGATCTTGTGCATTTTGTTCTTAGCCACCCAGTCCACCCAAAGAGGCACAGTGGGACAAATACATCCGGGATATTTGTTCAGATAACATTTTTTCTTCTTCTTCTACCCAGTTCACGAGAAAGAGGGGGAGAACTGACATTATTCATTGGGCCTTTTGGCCTTTATTAACCATAGGACTGGTTCTGTTTTAGGCTATAATTTATTATTTCGCATGTAGCCTCGATCAGCTATTTATTTCTCTATTTAAACGAACCGATGCGTGAGTTCGGTATTTATTCACTTATTTATTTATTTATTGGGCACATCCAGCCCTCGCCATGATTGCCGCGGGGCTCTCGGTGATATTTGCTCGGTGACTGAAGGTTTTTGAAGACAAATTCTGTGGATACTTTTAACCACAAAAACTAGATCACAGATTCAATCTCCCCCCTTTCCCCCCTCCTGCTGCACAGCATGCAACTCTATAAGACCAAAGGGATGCATACTGGCCACGCAAAAGCCACACACCTGGAGATTTAAAAGAAGGAAAACATGGACGATTCACCAGGAGGGAGACTGATTTGACAGGAACGGGGGTAAAAAAAAAGTAAATAAATAAAAGACTTGACTGCATGTGCTGTCCAAAGCAAAAATAAAAAGGGGGGAAATACTCTGAATTAAGACATTGAAAGTGACTTAACTATAATCTGTTATATAGGATGTTTTGTGTAGCGGAAGCACTCTTGTTCCCATTTGGTCAGTTTGTGATAACTTATGTTTCCAAAATTATGTCTGTGCTTATTCTCAGCTATGACTTTCTTAAATGTTTGAACCGTTTTGTTTCATGGACATGTTTATATCAATTCAGTGTAAATGATCAAATAAAAACCATTTTCAATTATGCCACAACACGAATCAACCCTCGTTTCTTTACAAACTCAGTCCAAAAGGTATTTAGATTTTAAATGATTGTAGTGATGAATCTGAAATTTTTGTTTAGCGTTAACTGTATCAAATTCTCTATCTGGTATAAACTTATTTAAGTTAAAAAAAAAAAAAAGCAGCAATGAACATTGAAGTTAGGCTTAAGTAGCAAATAATTATTCTACAGAAAAGTAAGTTTGCGTTATTTGTGATGCTGTTAAGTTCTTTGCCTGACATATCTATCTATCTATCTATCGATAGATCGATAGTTTTATATATATATATATATATATATAGATAGATAGATATATAGATATATCTATATGAACACTTCCACACTGAATGCTCAAAATCCAGAATCCACATTAGCAATTTAGGAGAGCTCAAGCGTGTCAAACTCAATCTCAGTAAAGACCAAACTGACAAATTAGAGTCAAAGATGTCATTTTGTTATTTTTGTTATACAAATAGCACAAATAATGACCTCCAAAGCCCAAAAGTGAGATGGAAAAGCAGCGGATGACAGAATGGCATTTACAAGCAACATGTAAGCATTTAATAAAATGTTTATGATACATTATAAATAATAAAGACATTTTTATTGATGTACAGTATTTATCATCAATAGAACATTTTCACATATTTTTATATGACTGCATTTTATTGACTAATCTCTCATTCTGCTTCTATGCCAGCCTCCAAATGTGAGTGCTTTAATACACTAATGAGCACTTCTGTCTGTTTCCAGCTAAATTATAGATTTAGTTGTAAGCAGACAGAATTAATTTACAGACTAAATTCAATTATATTTATTAGGTAAATTGATAATACTTATAAAACAGGCTCTATAAAGTAATACCCATCATTTATCTCACCTGGAACATCAATTAGACAAGGTTTATAAATCTCATGGACTCTTTCCAACTTGCTCCAGTGACCTAAATGTGACAACAGACCTGATGGCATTTTCCAAAAGGTCTGCTTTCTGTAATAAAAGAATAAAACAGTGAGAAGCAGGCTGAACTTGAATGCAGCGTTTGTGCAACCAGCTGTGAGATCCCGCTTTTTGTATGGAGTCTATGCCGCACACATTTCAGTGCACTTCACAGTGTTGTAGTAGATCCAAGGAAGCTGGTGTTTTGTTGTCTTAAATTTTCTATCAGGAAGCAAATACACAGTGATAAGTTCAGGAATTTTGAAAACAAAACAAAGCGCTAGCCTATTTAAAGCATCAGTTAGTAATGGCCTTTGAAATCACTTAAACTACATATATACAGATATTTATATGTTCCAGTGTTTAGTTTCTCTGATTGTATTCCAGTGTGGAAACGGGACACGAACCTGCCACTGAGGTGCAGCACAAAATGTGTGTTGGAGTGTTTGTGCTCCACACAGCAAGTGCATCATTTTACTTTAGGTTGTTAGGAATAACACATTATGTTTAAGTTTATTTATAATCAGTAAATAATGCACTGCCTCTGCAAGAAAAGGCTATGGTCAGAAAAAATGCAAATAAAATTAAAGCCATTTTGCCCTCAGTTGGCAATTGAAGTCAATGTTTCTTGGTTGGCTTTAGAGCTTCTCCTGTGCAGCACCTGTTTGTGTAACAGTCAATGGTCAACTTTAGGGAAAGCCTTTTATTAATGTTATTTTAAAGCCTTTTATTAATATAGTTCCTTTGTAAACCATCCATCCATCTTCTGCTCACTCAGTTCAGATTTGTAGGGGGTTTGAATCTACCTATGATGAGGTAGAACCACTGGACAGGTCACATATTTTTACAGGGCTAACACAGATAAACAGATAACCATCCACACTCCCATTCACACCTATGGTCAACTTAGAATCACCACTTCTTCACCGTGTTGCTAGACTGTAGGAGGAAGCTAATGTCCTCAGACTGAGTCCATGCAGTTACAGCGAGAACATGAAATCTCCAAACAGAGAGCCCCAACCAGCAGGCAGATTTGAAGCCAGGACATTCCTAGAGTGAGGCGAGAGTCCTAACCATCACACCTCTATTCCACTCCTGAAATTTAATCTTCAACATAGACTTTAAAGGTGGACCTTTGAGTTGCAGTTCAGATTTTAATCAAGGGAACCTTAGTGATGCAATGTTTGCTGATGAAGCTGCAAATCTCCAAACAAAGTGAGTGTAAAGTGCAGTGGAAAAAGCCCTTTAAGCACTCTAATGAGAGAATTAATCAATTACATTTAGAGTTCCCATGATTATAAAAAACTAGAGCAGTAACAGTAGATATCTCAGATGTGAGTGCCTGCCAGTGAGTATCTGATACAACTGTACTTTTAGATTAGACAAGCATTTTGGTCAGCATTTTGGCAACAGAGATTTCCAAGGTATCCATTCGCCTTTAAACAAGGAGTATGGATGCACTCATGTCTGAAGTGCAAGCTTCTCTTACACTTTTTTTTCATTACTGTGGTAGAGATACATTTATATTATATTGAAAACACCACAATATTTTCTCTATTGTGAAATCCAAGCTAAGTAATTCCTCTTCCCCGACATCATATTGGCAAGTCCCTAACCTGTATTCTGGAGAAAGGCAAAATGATTATGTGAACAGATTTCTGTGTATGTCAGTCAGAACTTCCCTGAAAGCCAAGATTTTGGAGAAAAATCTAATAATAATTTTTATAAAACATACAGAGGACTTTTTGTACATGGATTTAGGATTTATGGAAAATGGCCCTGCCAGTCTTCTGGATGTGTTATGCTAAATGTATTCTTTAACACTTTTATTTTATTTTACACAAGTCTGGATTCAAGTGTTCCTATACTTTTACAATCATACAGAAAGTTCATTCACCTACACGAAGAAAAAGTGTTAGCTATATTACATCCAATTACTGTTAATCACAGGCTAACTTTAGACAGCATGCTGTAATGAATATATCCAGTTTTATACCAACTGAATACTTATGTGAAACAAACTCTCATCACCTAGAAATATATCACAGAACATAGCAGGTTATCATCTAAAGGATATCACAATACAGTGAGGCCTGCTGGGATGATTAACCCGTGTGTGTGTTTGATTGTATAATCATCAATGACTAAACCTCTACTTGCTTTATTGTGTACCAATTTTCACAGAAATGTTCTGACTTACTTCTTCTATTTGTGGAATGCTACTACTTAATTAGCCAGCAGGTACTCTTCTATAAATTATTGTGAATCTTTTTATTTTGATGTGATTCCATGTCATAGACTTTGGCTTTCATTCGTGAGCCCCTCGGGATAAAGATTTTTGCAGTCTAGCAACAGATGTGAAATAATATTACATAAATGTAATAATTTGTTTCACTATCAGCCAGGTTAATTAGTTTGTGGAAATGGGTAACCTGTTTCTCATTGGGTAATTTGTCACACACTGACGCGGTAGCCAATCAGTGACCCTGCTGTTGGTGGGATCATTTCTCCCAGAATGCTGTGCAGCGAGGGTGTCGCAGAAAATGCGAGCGCGAGCCAATGTTTACCTCCTATTTATTCCACACAAATAAATGAAATCAGTCAATAAACCATCCAAGGGTGAATATGGCTCTCTCTATCCTGGATTATGAATGAGAGCTCATTAATTTTCTTGCGTGTGTGTGTGTGTGTATGTGTGTGTGTGTGTGTGTGTGTGTGAGAGAGAGTTTAACAGTTTAAATGTGTGTGTTTGCATGCATTTTCAGGTGTGCACGTGTGGTTATTTTCTTTCTGCACATATGTTTATGATGTGCACAAGAAGGATGTCAGAGTGACATTATGCACAAAAACTAAAGAGCAATTAGAAATCAGAATGGTAACACACAAATATTCACACTTTTGTAATTATGTTTACAAAACAACAGCAGTAGACTGACATTTCAGTAATTATGATATGATGATTAGAGGATCAATACAATACTCATACAAACTTGTCCACTGACAACAATGAAAACAGAGGGAAAGTGCTAACCTCTGAAGCTAGAAATCGGCCTACCAATAAAGCTTAATAAATAGGTTTTATGTCTCTGTTTTTAATACTTCTTGGAATCTTTGTCAAAGCCACTCGGCCTAGTCATGAAACAATGAAATACTAGCTGCCCTTAAATCTGCAACACAGAATAACTTCAAGTAGAAAATAAAATGAGGTACAAATATTAAACTTCAGATGTGCACAAAAGTTCTTTTTTCATGCTCCCTATACTAAGTTAATCTAAGTTAAATGTATGAGAGGGGTATCCATAATACACACAGATGCTAATGAGGTCCGAAAAATTATTGGCCTGACTGAAAAAAGCAGGTTCAGCTCCTCCCTCTTTATGCCAGCAATCTTACTGACAATAAGATGAAATTAGTCTGCTATCAATTCAATTCAATTCAATTCAATTCAATTTTATTTATATAGCGCCAAATCACAACAAATGTCGCCTCAGTCTGCCATTGGTTTGCTACTGAATGGGGTCAAGTCCTCTGATGCAGAGAGACCTGTCACAGATGTGTTGCATTCATCAGTGCAGACTGACTGTTTAAGGAATCTGTCTATATTTATTCATTAGACAGCAATTATTTGCAAACCTTCGCCAATATCTTTGAGAGTGATTGCAATCAGTCTGATTCCCATTGCTGCTGTCTGGAGACTGGTTACCTTGCGTCAGGTGATTTATGAAATCATCCAGAAACAAGCAGTTTTTACTATATTGTGACTGAGCGACACTGACTCTCTTCTTCTCCCTTGTATTGATCTCTCCTCGGCTAATTGCATTCACTGAGGTTCACCTGTTCACCATGTTTGCAGTGCTGGTGTCTTTTTAATAGAATTATGAAAGGCTCCAGCCTTTCACCCAAATATGATTGTATCTATCAATGCGATCATATCAAATCAAACCTTATTTAACATGAGCATAATAGGTGCTCTTTGAAGTTTACATTGCTTAGTTATAGTCTAATATAGATATCAAGCTGACACTATCTGCCATTAAAACCAATTGACCAATACTTAAATAGCAGTGTAAAAAATTATATTGCAATATATCTCATAAAACAAGCTGCAGACAAAAAAGAAATTTATGTCTGAAGTCAGTTCAGGCCACACGTCCCAAAAATCTTATCCTCTTAGTTTTAAGGGGTACGGATACATTGGTGGCTTCAGATCCATGCTATGAATCCAAATTCATGGGAGCTTTAATGTTATTTGACAGGCAGAGTCTCGCAGTGTCTCGGTGATTGTTATTCCAGATGGTGGCAAGAAAATTCCATTTGAAGGTTTTATTAATTTTCGTTAAAATGGGGAGGTTCGCTGATGCTGTCTTTGCTCACTCGCTGACGAGGCTGACTGACATCTCGCTGCTCCCTCCATTTGTCTTTGTTTGAAAAGGTCTTAATTGTATTACATGCAAATGAAGAGATTTGATTTTTGTCCATTATCTATTCATAAGAGAAAATGAACAGAACATTAGAGGGTCACCAAATGAGGGAGGGGGGGAGGAGGAGGGACGAGAGATTGAGACAGTGATGATCAGTTAGGCAGAGAGGAAGATAATACAGAATAAAGGAGAACTGGCAGCTTTATATTGTATTGGTGTAATATCTCCCAAGTTTTGGTGCTGTGTAAAAATAATCTTTCCACCCTCATGTATAATCTGTACGTATGTAATACTGTAGGTCAAGGCTGATAATTAACCCATGATGACTGAAACACAGCAATTAGAGTCATGCTCATGTGACAAATCACAATGACAGACGCTCAAATGCATTCCTCCGTCCTGGTCAGCCCCAGACCACCATTACCTGCAATGTAGATTCAAGTCAAGTGCACATCCTGTTTCTGTTTAAATTAGACGCAAGAGGAACCTACGAATTTAAAGGATCAGTGCAGGATAACGAAGAAAGGACAATTTTGATGCCAAGAGAAAGCTCACGATGCTGCTGACAGTCACTTCTGTGGGTTTTTAATTATGACAGCAGAAACACAAATAGACACAGACGTCTCAAACAGCTCCAAAGGTTACTTGTAATATGGAGAAATGTTAACAGTTACAAATAATTATGTGTTTCTAAGGTTTCACTGTGATTAGCTTATTTAATAAACCTAAACCTGTTAACAACCCTAGCTAGAGCTATTTTGCTAACTTTCTTGCTATGAGCCTGAACACATCTTACACAAAGGCCTAAATTGCTACTTACACATCCACTGGATCTACAAGAAAGGAAGGGTACTCTGGGATCATCCTGAAGTAAAATTCCTAATAATTCCAAAATAATTCCAAAGACCAATTGAGCATTCAGAGGTATGCATCAACATCAACGACTGGGTGACCATTTTTGATCACAAGACGATTGCACAACCTGTCTCCAAACAATTGCTATAGTGTTATATCACCATCTTGACCAATGATTGCAAAAGGTCTTCGTGCACCAAAGTCAGCCTGAAGCTAGCAACTGACTGCAATGGTTGGCTACCTGACGCCTGACTTCAAAACAACCATTTCAAAGGCAACAAAATTGCATGTTCACTGCACATTGGGGCAAAATATTTGACAATGCTCTGATCTCCATCCACTACTTTACCAAGTGTGTCTGTTGCATATAAGATGGAAGCAGACTCAAAGGTCTATAAAGTAAATCAAAATGGGAAGTGCCTTAAACATGATTATCTTCTAATAGCCAGTAAAGGGTGAATCTTCTGGTTTCAAAGAAACTCTGTACATAAGTCTATAAGAAAATTACCAAACCTTCCACCATACTCTTCTTTCTTAATTTATGATGGTAGTAAAAATCTTTCGATGCGTTTAGAGTCGCAGTCATTTATTTATTTTTGGTGGTATTTAGGTCATTATGCTCCCATTTAGAGTGAAATAATGATAAATGTCACCTTGGTTACCTTTCTTTCGGACAAGTGACCACTATCACATTAAAATGGAGCATCCTCAGCATCCCCGAAAAGAAAAGACGAAGCAAATAAACAATTTCAAAGATTTTTATGCAATGAATGTACATAAAGCTGAGTGTCCCCAAATAATTCAGAGAAGCAGAATATATTGATTAAAGTAGCTTTATAAAGAAATTTACAAAATGGGTTTATGTTACATTTTATTTATTGATTTATTTTTTGTTTTTGTTTTTTTATTTTACGTGTGATTTTTTATTTGGCTCTGCAAAGAACTCTGTAATTATGTTTTGCCATACAAATAAAATAATATTATTATTATCATTAGCTGCGAACTTATAAAGGTGCTGCCCTGTGTGTTCAGGTCTAAGTGGAGGCAGGCCCTCAGTAGATAAAGCAGAACACAGTGAACGCCTGATGAAGAGGGACAGTGAAGTGTGTTGGTCAGGAATGAGCCTATCTCTCTACAAGACCCCTCTGAACAGCAAGGGACGGAGTGTGTTATTGAATACTGTTGTTGGCCCTTTGTTAAATTACTACTTAATTCCTTTTCCATCATCATAACCATTTGTTTTCCTTACAGGCTGGAGATAGGGGGTGAAATCAGGCACTATGGTGGAGAAAGAGGGAGCATGCAGACTTCTTTTCTTTCTCACCCTGAATCTGTTGGCCTTTAGTGCTTCAGTGACAATCACATCAGGGCTTTCACATCTTAGATGATTTCTACCATTGGTCATATTTGACACCTCGTCCTCCTCGGCTACTGCACTCAACAAACTCTCTTTTCCACATTTCTTCCCACTGTGCTCCTGAATCTGTTCTTTAACTTCTGTTCTATCAACCTTATTTCCTGTATTTTTCAAAAATCTTGGATTGTCTACATTATTTACATAATAATATCTGCCACTTGATCCAATTCATTCGATCCTGAAACACTAACAAATGTTACCATCATGGCCACATGTTCTTCTGATTTTTCTCATTCTCTGACTTTTCATCTAGCACAGTTTATTCAGTAATAGTAGACTTTCAGTAACAGGATCACGAGTCACAACTTTTCTAATAATTATATATTGATTGAAAACAGTGCTCTGCAATCTAAATTTTTGACCCATCTAACAGATACTGTAGTAAAACAAACATTCTCACATCTAAAACCCATTCACTTCACCTCAACCGATCCCTTGCCCTAACCCTCCTCCTTTCTCAAGCTGCCCTTGAGCTTTTCTATTACCGCATGGAAAGCACCTCGCAGCCCCTGACAAGCGCAGCGGATCGACACTAAATCAGAAATCAGTGCCAGCCACAGATCTGAGCCACCATGAAGGTCACAGGCCCTACACTGCGTGTCGTCTCAATTGGGGGAGCAGGAGCAGACTCAGCTAGGGGTGCGTGTGTGTATGTGTGTGTTAACAGGGAATACACTCAAAGAAAGAGATTGTAAAGCTGAGGAAGAAGGTTTGGTTGAAGAGAAGGTCAGCATTATTGCAGAAGTCGACGCAGGAAAAAAATAAATAAACAAGAGGAAGAGAGGAAACTGTGGGCAGAAAATGCTGAACTGACCCAGAGGGTATAAAAAAGAATTACATCATAATTTTTTTTTATACAAAAGGAAACAACTGATAAAAAAAAGGATTTCCCTCACTAGTAGAGTTTTGAGACTTCTCCTGATCTTGTGTTATTGTTACACACTGCCATCTAGTTGTACGAAGAGGAATGACGCTCATTTAAAGATCTGACCTGATTCCAAAATGTGTTTTAGCAATCTTGAATGTTTGAGCTTCATTGTGCAGACTGATGAATGTAAATAATTTGATAGTACTAGGCTGTTTTCATGTATATCTGCAGAACATTTCTTAAAGTGGAGCATAAAAAGCTTCATTTTTGAGTAATAACTGTTTAAAATATTAAAAAATACATCCAGCTTTCCCAGATTAGTCTGTTTCCCTCATTTTCTCAACAGTAAGTAATTTTTGCTGTGGATTTGCAGGCATCTGACTTCTCTATGTACCAAAAAGGCAACCTTGGTTTTATTGGTTATATTGAACTAAATCTGCCTATATCTCTACTGAGCTTAAAAGTGCACTGAGACCCATAGGTTTGGTGTGACCAACATAAAGAAGTGATTTCACTTTTGACCGAAATTCAACATGTGTTACCTTTGTAACAGGATTCATATCATCGGGCATTGAGGTTGTTCCAAAGACTGACCTTGCTCAAGACCAGATTTCTGTCAGTCCCTGTTCGAGACGGAAATCCATAAATGAGAATCTCAAAGTAAAAAGCAAAACAAACAACAACAAAACAACCCCCCCGGATTAAGTTGTTTTTGGTTTCTACAGTTCCACTGCTATTTCTATCAAGATGTATGCTTTCAACGTGTGTAGCTTATTATTTTATTATTAATTGCATTTATATCGTTATTTATTTATATCGCTGAATTAACTGAATTGTTAATTCAGTATTTTTATTATTATTATTAATACATTTTAAGGTTTAATGTAACATTATGCTGAAAAGTAAAGCAACTTCGGAATGCAGATTTATTAGTTTTAAATAGGCATGGGTAGATTATTTTAAGCAAAACACACAAACGAATACAAACACTGCCTGAGTGGATGCTGGGTTCAGTTTTCCAAGTGTCGAAAAAGTCCATGAAATCATTAAAATGCGCAGCGGTCTAAATATATTTACTTCCCAATTATCATTCGACTTCAGTGAATCGTGTCCATGCAAAGCTTCCGTAGTGCGAGTCACATGAACGGTTTGTTGTGGTCGTGACGGAAAACCTTTTGAAACATGTAGCTGAAAACTGCAGTATTAACGTGACTCTCTCAGTTCTGGCGAAATTAAATTATCTGTCCAACAAACCGAAGCGTTACCCACCGAAGCCTCTTCACAGTGAAAACGGCGAGAGGCTGTTTCTGTGTGACGCTGGGGACTTTTCAGATAGAGAAGCTTGTAACGTTAGCTAGCTGCCTTGTGCTTTGAGTTTTGGGTTCGTGTTCAGGGAAGCGTCTGTAAAATCTGGCTTCGCTGTGTTTGACCGGCTGACGTCATGCTCCGGTGGATTCTCGGTGGTCGGGAAGCTCAGAGCTCAGCGGAGGTAAGCTGAGCCTGGGAGCTCGTGTTTGCAGCATGTGATGATTTTATGAGTCTACCTGTGTAACTTATGGAAATATGCTGTAATTTGTCCCATAAACGCTCATTTCCCCCAAACTCCCCCAAAGCCTCATGTATTCCAAAGCAGATTGTACCTCCATGTTCAGCAAGCCTGTCTCAGTATGTGATATAAATATCCACTAAATACAGGCGTAAACACTCACCGGTCACTTTGCTAGTTACACATTGCTAGTACTGGGTTGGACACCCTTTTACCTTTGTAGTTGTCACACACAGTTGCTGCCATCTTCAATTCCTTCACATCCCAATCCCATGGTAGACTGGGATTTGGTGACTGGAAACCATATGAGCACAGGAGCTTATTGTCATGTAAAAGAGACCATCTTAATGTGATCTGAGCTTTGTAACATGTTGTTTTCTGATGGAAGCAATCATCGGAAGATGTGTACACTGGGGCCATGAAAAGATGGACATGGTCAGCAACAATACTCTGATAGGATTTGATGTTTAAATGTTGATCACTTGATCCTGAGGGACCCAAAGTGTGCCAAAAAACTATCCCCGACACCGTATCTCTGTGAAGATTCACAGTCATCCAGGTCATCCAGGCTCTTTTGACTATCCCCAGACCATTATATCACCACCAGACAGAAATATTCCCTGCTTTCAAGTTTTGTTTTGTTTTTTAACTCCCAAATTCTGACTTTACGATCCAAATTTTAAAGCAGAAATGGAGACTTATCAGACTGGGCAACATTTTATATCTGCTTCAAGGTTTAGTCTGTTGTGTTTTCAGAGGTGCTCTTCTACACGCCTTGGCTGTAATAAATGGTTGTTTGATTTGCTTTTATCCCCCTTTTAGCTCAAAGCAGTCTGGCTGTTCTTCTTTGATCTCTGACGTTTTCACTGCTGTTCACTAGAAATGTTCTCATTGGACATTTTTCTGTAAACCCTAAAGATGGCTGTGCAGGAAAATCCCAGTAGATCAGCAGTTTCTGAAATAGTCAGACCAGCATGTCCGGCACCCCACGTTCACTCACTTAAATCACTTTTCTTCACCCTTCGCATGCTCAGTTCAAACTTCAGCAGGTTGTTTTTACCAAGTCTATCTGCTAATGAATGCACTGAACTGCTGCCATGTCAATGATTTATTCTGTATTTACCTTAACAATCTGTTAAAAAGCAGTTGATAATAATAATAATAAAGTGATAAAGTGTTTTTTTGTTATTTTCAGTTTGATAAAAGACAAATAATTTCCTTGTTACTAAACTCAATGCTCAAAATATTTTATGCTGGCTTTATTCTCAAAGTAAGGCCAATATCAGAGATGTAGTATTTTAACATGGTGGTGTCAGACCATGCTTATACTTTGTGGACAGGACATAGACTGAAATGTATGATGGTTACTGAGTAGCCCACTTACATTACTATGAAGTAGAACATGAATTACCTATATAATATGTATATCGCTAGCTATTCCAAAACAGTTTAACCTATAAAACATAGGCCTTATCAGCTGTGTCAAAAAGGTATTTCAGGATAACAATGCAAAGTACTTCCATAAGAAACCTGTAATAGGCACTAAGTATTAAGCACGTTCATGAGTAGTAACAATAGCAGGGAAGTAATGAAACCCTCCACCCATCTTATTGTACATATGACAAAAAACTCCAACATATTGCCAGTTAGGATTTAAGTATGAGAAGCACAACAACTCACTCTACAGAAAAAGTAACAATTGAACAGCTGGTATATTTGTCATGTTTTTGATATAAAATCAGAATGCAGCTATGGCTATTCTTTTTTTGTAAGATGGGTAAAGTAACAAAAACAAAAGTGAATAAAATATAAATGCCAATTTGTATCCCTTAAAAATATATTTGCTTAGAAGTACAAGTTTGCTTTCCACTTCTTTCTTCCCGTACTCTTGTCTCTCCTGTCTACTCTCAGCCTCAGGGCTGGGTGTACAGCACCGCGGCCTGTTTGTCTCACTGCTTTCCCTCTTGTGTCTGCAGAAAAGCCCTGTGCTGTGCATTGGAGAGGAACAGCCCAAAAACTGCTTCACTGAGCTGCAGGTGCTGAAAGGACATTTTGACATTGTTCGATTTCTGGTGCAGATTGATGACTTCAGGTAAGCCGACCGCAAACGGCCCCCTCTCCCCTTCCCCAACCCTCCCTCTCGCCTCTCCTGCCCTCTCTTATCTCTCTTTCCCTCTATAACCTCTCTCCTCTCTACCCTTGGCTGGCCTCCATCCCACTATGATTGACAGGAGATCCTCACCTACAACAAACTTACAGAGCATGACAGGAGCCCAATCATCACCACTATGTGATGGTGTGTGCATGGTACAGTATAACCAAAGCCTTTTTAATACTGTCCGTACACACACACACACACACACACACACACATAAAGGTTTGCACCTGCTCTCCTCGTTTGCGCTGTATTGTGGAAGCATGCTACACACTGGGATGGTAGAGTGGACCTGCATAAGTGTAAGATTGGGATTTATACCCGACCTAAGTGTGTGTGTATGTCAGGGTGGAGGGGGGGTTGCTTTACGCCTGGTCTCCTCCAGTAATCACCTCCTCCTTTGGGTCTCGTCCTCTCTGCTCACAGGTCCACAGTTGGGGGCAAAGGCCAGAAAATTCTCTCCAGATTGCTTTTGAAGTCTGAAAATGTATCCTCAACACTTCCTCTCTTCTCATTTTGTCTCTGTTTTATCTGCTCATCCTGTCTGTTGGTTTTGGGAACAGGCAGCTTGGATGGTTCAGGGTCAGAAAGCAAGTAACGCGATAAGCCCCAGGACAGATGTATTTTTTTTTAACATTTCTCGGTGGAGATGAAGCTGCAGGAAATGATTCCTTGTATGAATAGGTTGTATCTGCAATTGACTAGTCGACCTGCTAAAGCAGAGTCCTGCCAATCCTACAATTCTCAGCTGAGGGGCCAGTGTGACACAGGAGTGTAAATTCAAGAAATAACTCTTACCTTTCTTCTCATGTTACCCAGATGTGCCTCAGCAGGGGATGATGGCCTTGTTTTGGTGTGGAATGTTGAGGTAATATGCTGCCAGTTTTTTTTCTTTCTTTCTGCGTCTTGCGAAATTGCACACAGCACAGTGGGACTAATTGCTAATTGCTTTTATTTTTGCTTGTCCGATTGCTAGACTGGGGAGAGGCTGCAGGAGCTGAGGGGCCATTCTCAGCAGATAACAGCCATAACCACCATCACCTGCAAAAATGAAGTCACAGTGAACACCTCGCTTATCACTGCCTCTTCAGACCGAAGCCTCAGCGTATCCTGAAACAATGCACACAAATGTACAGCAAGTGTTTCATGAGTAATTCATGACTTTGTGATTCAGGCTTGATTCTCCTTAATCCTGCTTGTCAGCTCTGGGACCCTGATACAGGCAACAGGGTCCAGACCATTTCAGATCTTCATTCTTCTGTAAAGGTAGCAAAAAACACCTTTGAAATCCCTAAAAACACACACACACACACACGCACACACACACACATCTTGCATCTGTATTATCAGCTATTTATTTTTGGAAGTGAAAATGGAAAACTGTGTATACACAGTTTTTTTTCCTACACTATTAATGCAATACTTCAGCTAAAGCCCTTAAATTAAAGCTGAGAGACTGCATCTGAGTTACATCGTCACTGTTTCATTTAAAATCCCCTGTGGTGGTGAACAGATGGTTTCTATTTTTCTATGTTATGTCCCATAAAAACATATGGTCCTCTGCTGTATATATGGCAGAGGAATACATAATTTGCTCTCTGTGCAGATATTTCAGACTCACCCATTCTTAATGCAGCTGTTTACAAAAACTGCAGGATTTTGCTGGATGAGTTTGGACATATTATTTTTGGAACCAAGCTTGGGTTTTCAGATTTTTTTTTTTTTGATCAGAATAAAGTGATCTGACCAATCAGACCACGCATTTGGCAACCAGTGTGCACATAGCTCAAAATGCGCACCAATCCTGGATATACAAATAGTAAAATAATACCAAACTGCCCCACTGACATCTTCAAATATGTTGTACGAATGTAGTCATGATACAGCTTCAATTGCTGGATGAAACCGTGCAATTGTCTCTGTCGCTGCCTTCTTGTGAGAATTGGATGAATCCAGAATCTCAGTTTCTTCCTTTTCTTCATTAGAAACTTCAGGACCTGCTCATCATCTCTTGATGTTGGCATTTTTTTTTCCTTAGTGCCTTTCATAAGGACGAATTTTCCACCAAAGGATTTTGGTGTATATAGAAATTAAAAATCTAAAAATTAAAAAAAATAAATACATCTAAAATGATATTTCACATCCTGATCCAGCTGTGTGTCTGTCTCAGTGTTTGCTGGTGCTCGAGCGACTGTGTGTGTGGCTCTCTGGTGGGGAAGAACTATGCGTGTGGAATAGAGACTTTCAGCTGCAGTGTCAGCGACCCAACCACAGTGATACTGGTGAGAAAAAAATGTCCATCGCACAACCACATTTTTACTGTTACACCAACCGTGCTGGTCCCTGACGCTGATCAATGTTTTTGTGTTTTGACGTGTCGAAGGAATCACTGCTTTGATCGAACTGCCGAAGAACTACATAGCAGCTGCCATGGATAAAAAAATAAGTAAGAGCACAAAATATGGTGCGGATGAACAGATCAGTAGATTAAAAGTGCGTTATTTGAAACCAAATATTCCTTTGTCTTTGCAGTGATCTACAGCTTGACAGTTTCTGCTGATTCCTCTGTGTCAGCGGCTGAGATCCGCTGCCTGTCCGACCACCAGGATCAGATCCGAGCTCTTATCAACGTCAATGGTCAGTCTGAAACTCGGTGTGTCTGTTAGATTTTTAAGCTGCAAAGAGACTGCATTTTGAACCCACAGACCGTGTAAAAGGTTGTTGTAGCTACTGAAGATCTGTTATCTTGATTTAAAAACTAAAAAAACTAAAACTGGTCTGACAAAGATGTGCGTGTCTCACTGTTAAACTGCTTTCTCACTGGCTGTCGACTTTCCAATCACCAGCCGTTAGCCCATTAGTGGCCACAGATAATCCTCCTTGGTGAAACATAGTCCAAGATTTACAAAATAGACTTCACTTTTTATCCGAGATGGCCCAAAATGAGGAGCTGAGACCGTGAAGTCCTTTTTACAGAGTATTTAAATCAGTAAGCTCTTTTCCTGTAGACTCTCTAGGACTGTTTGCAGCCACAGCTGCCATCACCTGGTCGCCAGGTTTGATACATTTAGAAGCTATGTCAACACTTTATTCTCACTGTGTTTGTAGCCCTGGACTCATGCCTTTTCCTCTTGTGTTCTTCAGACGGGCTCTTCGCCAGTGGGTCCCATATGGGCGAGTTGATCTTATGGAATGCGACTGATTGGAACCTCCTGGCCTATGAACACATTCTCTGGGAAGAGTCCCAAGCCTACAATCAGACTGAAATACGAATGGGGGCTCCTAAACCCAGCGAGATGTCCATTCAGCACCTGACCACCAATGGAAATGTGAGGACAGGAAAGGGCAGGATGGGCTTGTATACTGGGAATACTCTGTTGTTTTATTATCATTTAAAATGAGAACTTTCTGTTTGTGTGTTTTGTAGCTCATCCTTGCTGCTGTGGGCAGCGGTCTCTACGTCTACAGTGTTCAGACCAGAAGCGTGGTGGCCTACAGGAAGGTTGCCCACGACTCTAATGTGTTACACACCATGCTGCTGTCTGACAGGTAGGATCTTACACCTTTTCTAAGACTTCTTTTTTTTACCCTCTAGAACACACAGGGGCAAAATACTTTCTGAAAGGAAAACTAAACAACCCAATTGAAAATCAATAGCTGTAGCTTGAGCAGTTTGCACATGCACTCCACGGTGATCTGTGCTTACTTGAATACATTAATAAAAAAGAAACCATCAGAGCTCACTCTCTGGTTAGTATTAACTTTTAAGGGAATACTTTTGTATTTTGTATGTATTCATTTGTTTTTTCTTTGTTCTTTTGAAAAGTACTTGAGAGGTTTGTAGTGTAGTAAAAATCAGATAAGGGTAGCATGATGGAGTTTCTTTCAACTTGAAAGAAAGGCAGATATGAAATGAGGTCAAATGTAAAAAACATGGTACTTCCTACATGCTGACCATAGACACTACAGTTGTAAGAATCATAGTGTCTAAGTTATACCTGCTGTTGGTTGTGGTTGGGGTGACCCTCCAACTCACAGCTCATCTTCATAACCGAACAACTGCAGATCAAGATGGTTGAGCTGGACTTTGTCCAACTGAAGGATGAGAGTCTGGTGATTGCTATGACGGCAACGTGATTAGATTACTTGTGGGGAAACGTTAGACACAAAGGATCAGTGATAGCTTAGTACAATTTACTCAACTTTCAAGAGGGAGTGAGACTGACTCTATAGTAACATGTTCATGCTAGAGTAACATGTTCATGAGCAGTGACTGTTAGCCAAACTAATTCAGAGAAGCAGGTCAGCACTGTAATGTTATTAAAGTCTGAGTTAGCTGCAAAACTAAAAACAGTCTCAGTCAGGTTCATAGGTCAGGACATATTTTACTTAATTCTTAAGGCCATGTACAGTACCAGTCAAAAGTTACTTTTATCTTACCAAAGTTTGCTGATTTTACTTCTTGTTTTTTGTCCATGGTTTTATACAGGGCACCAACAAATTCCATAAGTCTTATTGTATTAAGGATCTAAATGTGCAAAATAAGTAGTAACTACAACTTTGAAATAAATGCGGTGGAGTAAATCTCTGGAAGCTGCAGGTATGAAAGACTGGGCTTGTAGACAGTTTAAAAAGATATCTTCCAAATATAAAGATTATGGAAAACTAAACAAGCAGTCATACAGTCAGCTGATGTTTTATCTTGTTCTTAACATATTGTCTTGCTGTGTGAAAGAAACTTGTGGTGGAGCTGAAATAATTGCTTTTCCTCTGAAGTTGTTGAACAGGTGTTTTGATAAAGGACACTTTAATGGAGTTCCAGGTGCTCAAATCAACTCCAGGCTGAAATATTTTCTCTCTTTCACTGAGTCAGTCCTCATGTAGTTCAGCTGTAGCGCCAATACTGCCTTCCTGCTGTTTTCATCCATAACACTAAGGGAAGCCTCATTATTCCTGCTTTATGTTATGTTGAACCCTCATAGACTGAATCTTAAGGCTTTCTTGGCTTCTGTGCCTTCTCTACTGTGAATCAAGCTTCTGTTTATTACCTAAACATTAGTAGATTTATGCCTACAAGACAAGATGGCCACATGATAAATATGTAGGGAGTCATATCTTTCACTGATAAAAGATTTTTTTGGACAGCCATGATCCAGTGCATTTTTAATCAAATTTAATAATTAATAGTTTTGTTTTCAATATAATTATCTAGCAGTAAATCAGCCTGCGACTATTATTCAAATAGCTGTTGCTATGCAGACAATCTGTGTGTGTATGTGTGTGACACTGCCTCTGTTTTAGTGAACTGATGTCCTGCTCTGAAGATGGCAGTGTGAGGATGTGGGAGATCCAAGACTTGCCTTTGCCGGCTGAACCAGCTTCTTCAGGTGAGACACACGCACACACACACACACACACACACACACACTGCTAAAACTAGATTCTCCATGATCTATTACTTACTTAAGTATGAATAATTATGACTGGAAACTTTAAAGACTGAGGAATGTGTGTGTGGAGGTGGGAGTGCTGTAATGTTGGCCAGACGTGGTGTATATCAAATAAAAGTGGTGTGTAGCAGGTTAGCACAAGTCAGTGTTCCTGTCACATCATTATTATGATGTTTAGAGCAGACCTATTAGTTACTATTCTGACAGTCATGGTAATGCTGTTTTTAGCCTATCCTGTCATCTCTACCCGTAAACACAGAAAATATATTTTTAACAGCAATATCATCAGCAACAAGTATAGTTTTTGGGTTTTATATGTATAATCAATATAAAAATGTAAGTTAGTCCTTGGGTATCCTGTAACAGTAATTTTCTGTCCACACGACAGGGTTCTTTGGGATGTGGAGTTTTGGCCGTTCAAACAAACAATCTGGTCCTCCTTCGAAGAAGGTTATAGACATTCCCAACATTAGGATGCTGGAGTTGACTGGAGATCTGATTGGACACTCAGGAGCAGTCCAGGTACATAAGGCTTAAACTAAAGTTCTTTCTTATAATTATGTAATGTCAGGGCTGCAGTAATGTCTTTTGGACTTATTTCAGATGTTCGTAAGTTTCAAGGAGAACGGTTTGGTCACATGCTCGGCGGACCACCTGCTCATTCTGTGGAAGAACGGAGAAAGACAGTCTCGTCTCCGCAGCCTGGCCCTTTTCCAGAAATTGGAGGAGAGGGGAGGACTTTGACATTTATGTCACTCGCTTTAAAAAAAAGTTGGGAGGTTGATGCTTAATGGTGTTCACAAATGATTTAAATGTTAGTGTAATGGTTGGTGTTTACATTTATTCACTTTGCCTTTGGACTGAAGATGTTTATTACCTTAAATTCTATAAACTGTCTGTAAATACCTCATCTTCCAAATGTAACAGTACTTTTGTTTCCACACTGGAGTGTTTGAGCACTGTGATGCTGACATAAGTCATTTTGTACCAAACACAGTCTGTTGTGGTTTTACATTAGTACAGCCCAGTTCAATTCTTGTCCAGGCTTTACTGTAGATCTACATTTGTGCCTCTTCATGTTGTGTAGGTCTGCTTCCATGTGCCAAGAAGCACTGTTGTGATCATCTAGTAGTGCTATGAGAGGAAGGTTCAGCAGCTTATACATGTAATCATTTGCACTATTGTTGCTGTTTTTGTGTGTTTGTTTGGGTTTTTAATATAGTTTGACAGTATGCTTCTTTGTGTTTTTGAGAGTTATGAGAATGACAGTGCTTTAGCAGTGGCATCATTCGATAATGCTTGTATTTTTCAAAAATATTTTCCACACTATGCATTATCACTTTTTAATTATTGCCATGATTATGCAGTGTGTCTGGAAAGTATTTGCAGAACAGGTTCCACATGTTTTTCCTGTTACAGCCTTATTGCAGAATGAATTGAATTAATTTTTACTTCAAAATTCCACACATACTACCCCATAATGAGTGAAAAGAGTTGAAATTCTTGTGAATCTATGGAAACTAAAACAATGAAGATATAAGATTTATATAAGTATTCATGGCCTTTACCTCAGAAACTGGTATCGATGAACAGATTGGGAAAAAAGAACCATATCTGCAGCATTAAAGGTCACAGTGAGCTCAGTGGCCTCCATCAACCATGAATGGAAGACATTTGGAACCACCAGAACTCTTCCAAGAGTTGGCTGCCTGGCCAGTCTCAGCAATAGTCAGGGAGTTCACCAACGACCCAATGGTCACTGACAGAAATCCAGCATTGCTCTATGGAGAGAGGAAAACTTTCCAGAAGGACAAGTATTTCTGCTGCACTCTACCCAGGCCTGTATGATAGAGTGACCAGATGGAAGTGATTGCTTAGTAAAAGGCACATGATAATTCAGCTGGAGTTTGCCAAAAGGTACCTGAAGTGCTCTCAGATGGGAGTCCTTCCTTTTTATCAGATGAGAAACAAAATTCTCCGGTCTGATGAAACACAGATTGCACTCTTTGGCCTGAATGCCAAGCATCATGTCTGGAGCATCAGGTCTTTTAGTTGCCCAACCAGAGTCCAGACCGGAACCCAAACATCTCTGGAGGGATCTGAAAATATCTGTGCGCCAACGCTCCCAACCAACATGATGGAGCTGCAGAGGTGCTGCAAAGAAGAAAAAAGAATGACAGAAACGTTCCCTAAAAAGGTGTGCCAAGCCTGTAGGGTCACACTCAGAAATACTTGTGGGTGTAATTCTGTCAAAGGTGCTGCATGTTATAACTTTTTAATAAGTTTGCTAGACTTTTAAGCTTTTTTTTTTGATTTGTTATTAAGGGGTGTTGTGTGTTAAATTATGTATGAAAATTAATTTTATCCATGTTGGAATATGGCTGTTTCATGTGGAACAGATTAAGATGCTATTATTACTTTCCAGATGGACTGTAATATATATAAAATACAGAATTGGCACATTATTGCACTGATGAACTGATGGACATCAGTTTTATTGATGAGAGGAAAATTTGCAATTGATGAAGGATTTTCTTAAAATATAACAAGCTGTTATACAATCTGCTTCTGGCTCAGTAGATTCAAAGCAAAGTGTTCTGTCACTGGCTGTAGTCAAATGTAACTGAGCTCATCATATTCTGCTTGTTACTGCTCATGGAGAAGACTGTCTGACATTTAAATCTGAAGTATTTAAATTGTCTGTGTGAATAGAAATCTTTATCATATACTAGCAAAAATATCTTCTCATAGTCAACGATAGCAGCTATGAAACATTCAGAGGTGGAACTGCTTTTCAAGTCACCTTGAAAAACAGCAGGAGCACAATAACATCCACAATAAAAATGTATGAAAGCAAAATATGTAGAAAGCTAAAGCAAAAATAATATTGGCTTTAAAAATCTCGTAGTTGTACAAAACATAGGAAAAAGTCTTGGGAGCATCATCACCGACTCAGAACTGTAGCATAATAGTGTGTACCACCTCTAGAACACCACTAGATGGAAGTCAAAACAGAAATCCCCCCCCACTGGAAAAAAGAGGCCAAATGTCTTCAGCGTGAATTTTGGTTGCAGGATTCAAGCCGAAGTAAAACTGCTTAATCAAAAACCACGAACGAGAGAGAGATGCTGGCTCTGCAGCTCCTTCACACCTTTGTCAGCCCAATGTGGGCTTTATTTAATCAACACGTCAACTAAAGGACTTGATGCACTGCATCCTGATCACAACATGTTTTGTACAACATTATATTATAAAAATACATCCCAGCTGTAGTTTATGTCAATTAATGTCTCACAGATCGGAGATGGTGGACAGTTTTAGTTAATTTTGGAATCTTTTTAAAAAAACATTAGTAGTAAATACCTTTAAACAAAATACACATAACTTATTCAGTGAGATTTCAGGATGCTGGTAAGTGAATCCTTTTATTTTGTAAAGATGTGTCGTTTAGATTTTGTCCTCCAACTTTTGGGAAGAAGGCAAACATTTCAGCTTGAAAGGATTCCTGTAAAACATCTTTGTGCCAATAACGTAACAACTTTATATTGAAAGAACTTTTTAATTGTCTCTCACAATACAACTTTGTGTTTGACAGAAAACATCAAAATAAGACCAGAGGGAGCAAAATACATTAAACCTTTTCAACAAACATGGCGGCTCTTACGTAAAGCTTTTGTAACTACTATGCCTGAGGCAGTAACATCTTTGAAAACATTACAGTTCTCATGGCCAATAACCCTCGTACTCCATACATGATCATTTTCTAATTATTGTTATGGTTGTAAATGATACAAAAGATAGAACTGGCACGTTCTTGCAGTCACGGCCAACAGTTTTATTGATGAGAGGGAAATCGAAATCTCTGTAAGTGATGAAAGCTTGTCTTTATATAACAAGCTGTTACACAATCTGCTTCTGGCTCAGTAGATTCAAAGCAAAGCGTTATGTCACCTGCTGTAATCGAATGTAACTGAGCTCATCATATTCTGCTTGTTACTGCTCATGGAAAAGGCTGTCTGACATTTAAATCTGAAGTATTTAAATTGTCTGTGTGAATAGAAATCTTCATCGTATACTAGCAAAAATATCTTCTCATAGTCAGTGATAGCAGCTATTAAACATTCAGAGGTGGAGCCACTTTTCAAGTCACCCTAAAAAAACCCAAACAAACATAACTTTGGAAATTAACAGCAACACATAACATCCACAATAAAAAGGTATGAAAGCAAAATATGTAAAAAGCAAAGCGAAAATAATATTGGCCGAGTATTTACAAGAACAGCAGATACATTAGGTAGTTTACAGTGTATTGCAACAAGAGCAGAGCTACACAGTGAGACGTAACAAGATTAAGGCGTTGATTAAGACCTTCATCGTCAGCATAATGACAACATCAGTGTGAATACATCGAACATGGAGGTGAACAAACAAGGAACGTGCGTTTGATCCAACTGCACCTGGTTCAGCTTCTGTCGTTAAAAATCTCGTAGTTGTACAAAATACATGGAAAAAGCTTCGGGGGCCGTCAACACTGACTAACTCAGAACTGTAGCACAGACTGTGATGCATCAGGCCAAATATCCTAGTTTTAAAAACATCTAAAACACATATGGCTTTTCTTCTTTTTGTGTTTTTTTTAATTTTAATTTTGTTTTTATGTATAGAGGAGGAAATGTTACAACAAAAATACTTGTGTTCTGAAAAAATGACCAAAGAATAAGGCACCTTAAAGAGCTCTCTGTGCCTTTGGTTAATACTGCTTGTTGTGCGTCTCCTGGATTACCACGCACATACTTGCACATGCAGCTGAGCTGGACAGTTGGGACATGAACTGGTAATTACATAGGTTCACCACAGTAGTAGCCTATAGATATCTGGATATCGCCATTTTGAGTTTTTGAATTTGTAAAATAATTTATTATGAAAGTCTTTTAAAGATTCTGCTGCTGGCAGTAGTGGATTCCAGTGCTGTCTTCACCTTTTGATATTAAAGCTTAACAGAGGTGATCTTAAATATCCAAGTCTAGTGACTAGTATTATTATAGTAGTATTCCATCCTCAGTCATAGTAGGATGAAATATAACACTGAACCAATTCCAGTCCAGCCACCTACACCCTTTCACTTTGTTTGCACTTTGTGGAGGCCACATTAAGTGCTGTTCCAAGCCAACAAGCCTTATGTGGGAATGGGCTCTAGAGTCCGCAAAACACCAAGTGTGCACCTGTGCTGACTTACTCGCTACATGGAGGAAACACACTTACAGATATGAAGGACTGTTTGAAGACTATCTCAGTATGAAAAATACTTTTGTGGAAGTTTTCTACATTTGTACATGTTTTTAAAAGTGCATCTGAATTTATTTGTTCTTATTTTTGTTGCAACAAATTCTAATAACAGAGAGCAGTATGTAAAATCACCATAACGACCTGGAGCATGTTAAAAAATGCCTGAATCAAACTGAAACAATCACGGCGTATTTTCCAATATGTGATGGACATATTAATACATTCATCTCATAGCGGCGCACATCTCCAAAGGAGCTGTTTGGAAGTACCTGTTTTCGCCTGAGAAAGGTGAGGGCATCCCAGACTTTTTCCGCTTTATTTCTGCCCTCCTTCATAATTAACAGACTCTTCCACACAGTGGAAGTGCCAGATTGAAATTGGGCCTTTGTGTTGGTTTGATTTGATTCACGGACAACATGACAAATTTAGAGTCTACCACCTGTAGATGGAAGCCATATCATTCAAATGACACCCACCCCACCGAAAAAGGGGCCAAATGTCTTCAGTGTGAATTTTGGTTGCAGGATTCAAGCCTAAGTAAAACCGCTTAAGCAAAAAACACAAACGAGAGAGAGATGCTGGCTTTGCAGCCGTGCTTTTACAATCTAAACACGGCTCAGCAGCTCCTTCATACATCTGTCAGGTCTTCATTTCATCACTAAAAACATGTCAACTACAAAACCTGACACACTGTACCCCGATCAATAGCGAAGCATAGGCTCAAATAGAAAGCCTGTAACTATGTTGTTCAAATACTCGCAAGTCAATCTTTTTTGGGGGGAGTGAAAATGTCTACAGTTAGTGTCACAAAGCTATGAGTGTAACATCTGATAACTAAATAGCTCTGATACAGTGCAATTCTGTCCCTCCATTTGTTCTGACATGCAGGTTTGACAAGGATCTTCATTATCCTCACTAGCTGCTTTCACAGTGCACGTAAGATGGTGATGTAGAAGAAATGACAGTAGGTTATCAGGTGGCATTTTACAAGGTATTCTGCAGCTATATGATCTCAGGATCCAGCATTTGTCACGAAAATAGCCCTACAATCGGCAATCTGAGGACTGCACCCTGTTACATAGGTAAGTACTCCTGGAAGTGCCCTTTCTTTTAGATTTTGTCTGAACAGGGCAAATGGACAGGAATTGAAGGGAATTTGGTCCCAGACACAAGTCTCTACGTTGTTTCACAGCTAATGCAAAGATTAATTCGAGCTAAGCACCTTTTACTAGCTGGAACTGTGAAAAAGGAAGTATGGAGATTTGCACTCACTTGTACTAAAATGCATGCCCAGATCACTTCAGATTCTTGTTTTCAGTCAGTGCCTCTGGCAATTGTCACGTTTTACTATCCATATTTCTTGTATAGCAGTATATAGATACAGAAAGGAAATATTTGCTTTAAAGAAAACTTCCAAAAGCAAAGTCAACAAAAAGGGAGTTCAAAATGTAAGATGTCGTGATTAGCTAAAGTGCAGGTTTCTGTTGTATTAAACTGTATGGTACAGATTGTCAGGTGACCCATGAGGTCCACACTGTACCATGGAGGTGCTATCAAGATATACTTTAGGGGGCCATAAAGTGTCAACAGGGAGACAGCCTCCAGTGACCACCTGTTCTCTACTGGTACCACTTCCAGCTAGAACCATACAAGAGGCTGTGATTTGAGATGGAAACGGCATATCTGTGTTCTTCCGATTACAAAATTTTCAGGCCGTATCCAGGAACCCCTGAGAGGTCAGGAACTTCTGTCAAATCCCAGCTGAAAAGAGTAACTGTTCCACCGCAGGGCTTCATTCACTGTCCTACCCTGCTTGGAGTGATATATGTAATGAGGGGATGTGGACTCGGTCACGAAGGAGGCGGAGGACGTAGACTCTTACAGTTCATCTCATCCAAGGTCTTCCAGTATTTGTAGTTCTCTGACAGGTGTTCCATTAAGCCAGGAAGAGTGGCAAAGGCTGCAAGGAGACACATTGAAGTTGGTAGAATTGAAAACAAACATGGCTACACAGATGTGTGTTGTTAGGCAGATTTCAGTCATAGTAACTAATTATAAATTCAAACCATTAAATCATTGAAATAATATTGCACAGATCCTCTTGGTTTCACCAAAATTGCTCATACAAAAGACAGTGGACGATATCCTGTGATATCTGGCACCAAAGTGTGAAAGGCAGGAGATAAAACCGTCCATGGTTTGGATTTGATTTTCCATTACATCCCACAATTTCTCAATCAGAACATTTGTAGGCCAAATCATCATCTTGACTTCTTTGTAATCTTCCTCAAACCACTTTTGGACAAATTTGGTGTGTGTAATAGCTAATGTGTGCAGTGCCTTTTTCTCATAGTTCCATGGTTTTCCAGGTAAGCAGTTCATCTAGCTTGAAAAAGAAACATCACATTTCTCATACACGGCCATTACTTTATGATCCAGTTCGGACATTGGTGGCATATTTGGTGATTGATTAGGTAAGCATGATCACTCTGACTGGTCTGCACTTATATAGCCCCACACACATTACTCTGACACCTTTGTCATACAAGCAGAATTAAGAAATAACCAGACAGACCAGCCTTCACTCCCCACAAGTGTGAGTTAGTGTTCGCTGCCAGTGACCATGTCACAGATTCACTGGTTTTCTGTCCATGGTTTGTTTTTTGGCACTGGGATCTAAACAATAAATACCAGGGACACAACAAAGGAACTGCTGTTTCGAAACCTTCTGCCTTCCAGCCTTCACAAATCAGCCCTTGTCACAGACTCACACAAGCTGAGAGACTATTTGTTGACACCCCTTCAAGATTCAAGATTTACTTATTGTCATTCAGCGCTACCTCAAAGACGCAATGCAGAATGAAATTACGTAGCACAAGCTTACATAAAGACATATAAAAATGTCAATACAGTTAAAAAAAAGGCAACTATAATAAATAAATAAATACATATACAATCAGTGGTACATATTTAAAAAGCACAAATAAAATTGCTGATTGCACTGAAATTTTTTTATTGACCGATTGGTAGAGTATAATAATCTAGGGAATAGAAGCTGTTTTTGTGCTGTTCAGCAGTTTGATGGCTGGTGGAAAGCGCCTGAGGTGCGACCTGCTACGATACCGTCTGCCTGAGGGCAGAAGTGAGAACAGGCTGGAGTTGGGGCGGAAGGTGTCCCTGATGATGTTTTTTGCTCTGGATAAGGAGTGTTGTTTGGCTGGACCCTCAATAGATGGCAGTGTGACCCTAATAGTCCTCTCAGCTGATCTCACCACTCTTCTCAGGGCCTTTTTGTCTGAAGCACTGCTGTTCCTGTGCCAGAGAGAGATGCTGCTTGTCAACACACTCTCAATGGTGCCTCTGTAAAAAGTGGTGAGAACCCTGGCAACCTCTGGTCACTTAGGAAAAATGTCTACTCTCTGACTAGTTGGCAAATAGTTGTTGGAGGTTGTTGTCAGTTACTGGAAAGGGACAACATCAGCCTTCAGCATTAAAAGCTGCAAGGTGCAAAGGGTGCAACTAGAAGGCATTCTGGTTGTCCTCAAAACTCTTTACAGTTTGATTAGTTTCTTTGTAGTGTTTGCAGACAAATCCATGTCAATCAAAGCATTATCAGAGTGCTTTTTATAGCTATGTGCAATTTCTTGCTAGCAACTGGCAATAACCTTCAGCAGCTGGTTGTGGAATATGCACTTTTCCTAGCCATTTCTGGTTACCAGTGGGTCACTGAATGGTCTCTTGGCCTGAGCAGCTGGGGCGTTAGCAAGCGCTTTCACAGCTACTGCCAGCAACCGCGCGCAACTGGTCTCGGTATATGTTTTTTTTTTTCCCCAAGTGACTGGCCTCTAGGCCCCTATCCCTGTGTGACTGAAGCCTAAGACTGCAACTACAAAACTTACTGTTCCCGTTGACACTGTAGTTTTTATTCATTTCACCTGACAGTGGTTTTAAAAAAATGTGAAACATATATGGTGACAGATGACAGCTGGCAAAAGATTAAAGGGACACCTGCAGATATAGCCTGGTTGGTCATATGTCTCATATCTATAAAAGTAATTTTAATGTATCAAGTCTCAAAATATCAGATTATTCAAAGAACCATGAATAATCCCAGTAGAGAGAATGCAACAAACACATATGTAAATTATATTTTCAAAAAACAAAACAAAAAACAAAGTAACAAACAAACACACACACACACACAGACACACAAAAACAGGAAATCAGGGATAAACACCTACATTTGCCACTGACTTCCTGTTATCATTCCACACGGACTGTTAACATTTGTAAGCAGGCTATGTGCACTCAGTTTGTGTACAGCTGCTAATGCTACATAGACTCTACAATGGTTCTCCCACATTAAAGGTCAGCTGGGGCTCAAAGGTCTCTCTGCCTCTCTCTCTCTCACACACACCCACAGCCTGAGGCACCACAGCTTCGGCTTGTGTTGTTTACATCCTTGTTTCCGGCGTTGTTGATGAGCCACACTGCATCTGTGGAACTAACAATGACCCCTGCCTTGTCCTGACAGTGACCCTGGTGAATTGAAAGAGGCTGCATGTGTGTTTTTGTGTTTATGTGCAAGTGAAGTTCTGCTCGGCTGCTTGTCGAGTGATTGTAGCCGACCCCTCCACCCTCATCCCTGCCACTATTTCCCTGACTTCCACTCCCCTGATACTCTTGTAATTTCTCCTCATCCCACTGGCGTTTGGAATCTTTCCGTGACATCAGAGCTGACAGTAAACAATCTGCCTCTCGGGGAGACTATGCTAAGAGGGGAATTCAGTGGGAATGAGGAACTAGTACAAGCAGCATACTATCCCGTTCCACTCATCATCACTTTCTCTCACTATCTCTTTCCTGTCATTTTCTCTCTTGCAATCTACTAAGAAAAAAATCACTGACGGCAATAAAAGAGGCCAGGAATCAAGATGGCACTGTCAGAGGTTTTGTTTTAGTTGGACTGAAATGCCTAATTGTTTCAATTATTGCATTTGAGTTATGGAACAAACTGGAAATGTGGGAAGTGATTCAGAGGTCTTAACCCAGACTGGTTTAGTGCCTGTCCCCCAAGAAAGGTTACACTGAGCAGACACAACATTGCAGTAAGTAACATTAATCATGTTACAATGCAATTTCCTGTTGGGACAGGGTAGGTCCTGGCATTCATGCGGATGTTACTTATCCCCCTATCCAAAATCAAGTGGGATAATGCGCCCCACCACATGCACAAATACAGCTTGAGGAACATTAGAGCTGACCATAAGGGTGTAGCAGGAAGCAAGATTAATAGGTTAGTGAGCTACGACGAGCTTAGAGGTAGAGTCTTCTGTGTCATGAAAGTGGCTCCCTTTCTACCTGGCTAAATCACTATGGTAACTTATGCTGAACAGACAGCTGGAAGAGTCACGTTTTCATTAACGCTTTTATTTTCAGCATATTTTCCTCTTGTAGGTGAATAAGTTTTACATGTGCAAGCTGTTAAGCTCTACCTTACTAATGCAACAAATGAAGCCCAGCTGTAAAGTTAGAGGAGAACAAACTGTTCAGTGATGATAACAAACTGGAGCAAACTGCACTCATGGTAATGATTTTGTGCAGCAGAAGAGTTATATGTGAATGCGCTCAGATCCTGAAAACTAAAACCTGGCTTAACAGAGAAAGCAACCATTAATACATAAATCAGCAGCCATTTGAAGATATTAATGGGGGAGCTTCTTTACACTGAAATCAAAGCAAGGTTTATGGTTCAAACAGAAATCATCATCTAGGCTGATGAGCCGAGCCACTGCAGTCTTGCTGTTTTGGAAAAGGATAACTGCAGGACCCTGCACACTCACTGGCTAACAATTTGTGATTGATCCATTGTTAGCATACCCTGGATAATTCTCCTTTTTCTGATCCTGAAAAATTAAATTTTTCCTGTTTTAGAAATTTTTTCTTAAATGGCATGATAAACCTCTCTGTGCAGATCAAAGACTGTTTTGCTGAAAGGGTCCTGAGCCACAGTATTTCCTAATAATAACCATATTTAAGAAAGTGTATATGTTTTATTTCAACATGACCTGACACTTGTGACTGACCACACAAAGTTATTAGGAAAGTGTCTACTGAGATCACAGCACAAGAGAGCAGAGGGCTGTTTTCCCATGGACCTCTATGTTACCAGAAGTTGTTTTGCGGAGGCGTCGCATCCTATTGACCACGGACCGGTTTATATATACTGTATATACTATATATATATATAGTATATACAGTACACGGACTGGCCTTTAAGGTGTCGCGGATAAATACAACAAAATAAAACCAGTACCGGTACCAAAAAAATAAGATTTATTCATAACACACGGGAAAAGACCCAGGGAAACCGAGTTAACGATAACGCTGTCAAGTCGAAGCCTTGCAGGCTCAAAGTTTTGTATTATTAATGGATTCATTCAAAGCACCTTCAGGCAACTGTTGTTGTGATTTATTGCAAATTATTAGGGGCTTGGCTGCTCTGTGAGTGACAGGTGGTTGCTGTTTTGTCTTGTTTGGTATATAAATTTACAGTTTAGGATTTTCAGTCGCCAAATTTAGTGTTCCAGTTAATATCAAGTTGATTTATGGATGCAGCTTTCTATTCTTTCACTCAAATCTGGCCTTTTCTGGCATCCCAAAAATGAACAAACAAAAGAAAAAAAACCTTTTATGTCATGGTCCGGGTGTGTGGCTGTAAAATTCCTGAAGGTCTGGACCTCCATGGTATCCACCCATGGGCAGGGCCAGCCTCCCTCACCTGTAGCTGATTGAGGCAATCAGGTTGGAGATTTAAGCTGCTTGCTGACACTGCTTCCTCACTAGTTCGTCAACTACCCTATTTACTCCTGGAAATTCCATCACACTGAACCACTCATCTTGGAAATCTGGTTAACCCGCCTGCTTTCAGAATCATCTCCTTGCTTCACCTGCCTGCCCTCCTGCCCTTGCACCACCTCGGGACCTTCACTGCTCAGGACAGCTGCCACACACCACCAAACCCACCTAGACCGCACCACCTCTCCTTCAATGCTTCCATCTCCCACCTGCACATACATACCTAATCACCAGCCAGCTGCCATTGCTTTCTTGGACCTGTCCCCTTGCTTATCCCTTTCCCCTGGCCAAGACCCTCACGCCCCATGTGTCAAGCCTTAAGTCAGGTACTATCGTAAACGTAATTTTTGTGCTAGTTAATAAACCTTTGTTAAACCCTTTCCTCAGCCTCCGCTTTGGGCTTTCTGCACGTGGGTTTGATTTTTGGTACTTGGCCTCCGGCCGTTTTGTGACATTTTAAATGGTGGTCTATGAACCAGTCAGCGACTGTCCAGCTTATATTACTAGTTTTTAACTTTGTCACAGTCTTTATTTTGCAATCTGAGCAAATCTCACCAGTTTCTGTTGATGACAGTGTTGTCGGGAATGCATTTTTTATTTTATTTTATCAATCTCACGTCCACAGAATGTATTTAGAAACAAGAGAACAAGACTGCTTGGACTAACAGAAGCAGGCTGGTAACTTTAGGACATTTAGTAAAGATTACAGTCACATGTAGAATGTGAAACAATTTTCACTTCAAGAGAAAAGATGTGAAAGATCATTTGGGAAATGGTCTGAGTGAAAGCATTAGAGGAATCCTTAGCAAGCAAATGGCTTCTTATAGAACAACAGTTACTTTTGTTCTGTGAAAGTAAACATTTAAACTTGTTAAGCAGCAAGTCCCAATCTACGATTTATGATCCTGACCTTTTAGCTGCACAGTCAGACTTAATATGTGTGTAAATATAATACTCCACTCTATTGAAAATGACTAAGAAGACTGCGTGGAGAACCACCCCTGAGAGAGAAACACAGAACACAGTTGAATTTTTTTGCTCTTACCATCCCAGGCGTCAAACATATCAGTGATGAAGTAGTCTATGAAGGAAATCTGAGATTTGGGGACACTGCAGGTGTTCCTGTCGAAAACGGGCATCACCACTGGCAGCCCTTGTCTCTTCTCCTCATCTGTCTGCAGGGAAACACACATAATTCAATAAACAGGGAGCTTAGACGGCAGGAGGCCATTTATCTAATAAAGTATGCAAAGTGATTAAGCAAAAACAAATAAAATTAAATGAACAGTTGACTATCTTCACAGTTATGATTCTGTTCTAAGCTTTAAACCCGCTATTAAACTAAGCTGTTTTACTGCTGCTCCCACACCTGTGCAAAGTACTCCTCAGAGATCCGTCCAGCCCACTCGATGCAGAGCTCGAGTGGTCTGCAGGGGTTTGCCACATCTGCACACTTGATCAGCATCCTCTTTATCAGCAGACGATTCTCTGGAGAGTTTCTGATGTTGGCCTGGCCCTCACAGTCACTGTTCATGCTCTGTGGGAAAGACACAGCAGATATAAGCATCTGGGACATACAGAAAACTGAAGGACATAAGACACACAAACACATATATTGAGACATATTGTCTCATCACATATCTGTTTTGTAACTCTGATTTCTAATAACTTCCTGGAAAGTTTCCTGGAAAGAGCTAATGTGGAACAATTTGTATTATTTGCAAAAAAAAAAAAAAGAAAGAAAAAAAAGAAAAAGAAAAGAAAACCAAACAGGAAGTGTTGCTCTTTATCTCCCCAGGCCTTTATCCTTCGGCAGACTAAGCAAACTACTGCTGAGCAGTTAATCAAATTTTAATCTCAGTCACAGTTTTCCCCTCCAGTATTCAATACATGAGGTTTTGGGAGTTTTTGCAGCAAAAGAATGATACAAATTAAAACTAATCAAATTTAAAATTGATATTTCATTTCTTGTCCTTCAATAAACACTCCAGTTTCAAAGATTAGAACATTCTGGCTACAATATTTCAGGCTTTATGGGGTTAACACATATATAATACTCGAGATAAAAGAATTAATTACAACAATTAATAATTCTTTCTTTTAAAAAGTTTATTACATTCAATATTTTTCCAAAATGTATACACCTTATTATTTGCTCTTACTGAGTGTCTCTGAAGCTATCTGACACTTACACTCGTGCTGGTCTCCTCTATGGCAGCCATTGGCTTGTTGATACTGTTCACAAATTTGCTGACGTGCTCAAAGTGTCTGGTCATCTCTGTGGCAAGCACCATGTCTATGATGGCCTGTCGCAGCGTTCGGAACTGAGTCCTGTATGCAAAGGGTAAAATAAAATCAGCATCTATTCACATTCTGCATTGTTGCTGCATGCTAATGTAAATCAGCTGTGACTAAGAAGAAAACAAAAAGAAAAAAAAAAAAACAGGTGTGCTGCTTCTACTGACCTGTCGATGTTCTTGAAAATGTTGCTCTTGCTGTCACGGACAGTGAGCTGGAAGGCGAGGGCTGCGTGGTGGCTCTCCAGAACGGCCGTGTCATTGTAGAGTATGGCCAGTTCACTACCTGCATTACACAAGAAGGAGTTGGTCCTGCCTGGGTGGTCCACATCGTGGACTGCTGCTGCTATCAGTGCTGCCACCTCATCCAGCTGGTCCAGACTGCTCTGAAGAAAACAGTGGAAACAAAAGGCCACATCAGTACTGGACTGCTCTGCATATATGGATGCGAGACAGAACTTGCTGGAATAGGTCCTGGCATCTCTGTTTAGATTGCTCCCCTCGTGTTCCAAAACCAGTAGCAGAAAATGATGGATGGATGGATGGATTTAATTTAATCTATATAATGAATACTATATCTGTATTGCACGATGCTATATGAGGCTTTTTTCAGTTGCAATTGAAAATAAAATAAAAAAGTGAATATAAATCCATCCATCCATCCACCATCATTTTCTGCTGCTTATCTGGTTTTAGAACACAAGGGGTGCCGTGAACAGAGACGCCCAGTCCTATTCCAGTTCATCTGTATGTGTATCCCAGCTTTTTTGGAATTTGGATTGTACAATGAATCGTATTCAGATCTTTTGCTTGTGTTCCCTTTAATAAATGCTGGTATGCAAACATATCTAGAGTTTTTTTAATAATATGCACCAGCAAACAACATCTTCTATCAACAGTATCATTACATTTTCTTGTTATTAGCATAACATGTTTTTTGGGTGTATTTTTGGTATATTTTCCTTAATAAACCTAAATATACAATTCATTAAATGTGTATATATTATTTAGTATCTCCTGTTTTAGCTTTATCGTTCTCATGTGCCGCTCACTCAGTTTATATGTGTGCTTTTCTTCTAACCTTGACTCTCTCTTTGCGTAGGAAGTAGGCTGTAGCGTGCAGCACATCTGCAGCGTGTGTGGAATTGTGGTAGGAGTTAGAGGAGTGGTAGCTGGCCTCAATGAGCTGCAGCCAGGAGCGCAGTGTAGCCTCCGAGCAGTTTAAGAACTCACACACTCCAAAACTTGTGAAAATCTTCAGGCCTAGGTACGTCAGTGGTCTGCAGGGGATCACACAAAGGACTGGATGAATATGCGTAGAACAGGTTAAAGTAAGAAAAATGCAGCAAAACAGATCACTACTGGATAACAAAATGAATTGAAGCCAATAAGCATACGTAGCTTTTTCGAATCCAAGGAATTTGATATTGTTTGGACTCTCTGGATTATATTATCTTTGTACCTTTTGTGTGTAGCTGCCTCCAGCTCCAGGATGTTGAACTCCCAGCACTCCTCATCATTCAGCATCTCAGCGATGTTTGGAGGAACATCATTCAAAGTGACTGGGATAGCCAGCTGGCTCTGACTCATGTCTAATAGACAGACACACACACATAAAAATGTGACCATAAAAAGACCAAAGAACTATTGTACCTGTGTTGGCTCTGTAATATTTATACCAATAGCTATAGCTAATTGTTCTGAAAATGTAAAGACTGTGGTCTCTACAGTGTGCAATAAAATTATCTAGAGAAGTGAAGGAGCACCGGTGGTGTTGCAGTTACACTTACAAAGACACAGCTTTCAACATAATGACAAATTAGACAATTTCTCAGAAAATTGACTCTTGCTTTGGGTCATCTCTCAGTTAAGTGCTCTTGTGACTGTAGTCATTATAATGGGGTTATGTAATAAACTGAGATGGAAAAATACACACTGTACAATGTTACAAGAACATTGCGACTCTTTCATCCTGCCAACAACTTCAAACTTAATATTTATTCAAGGGATTCCATCAAGACAACAGACCGCATTCAACACCCAAACATATCTCTAGTCCCACATGTTTTTAACCTAATGCTTCATTAACAGCTAGCTACTATGAAGTTATTGACCCAGTGTTGCCAATATATTTATACATACATTGAAATATTTACATAATGCACAGGATTATTGTGCAATATATATTGATTTTTCACCCCCTTGTTGTGGATATTCACTCATGAAAACACACCTGTGTGCAATAGTACCCACTCTGTTTCTTTTTCTTTGTTGCAATTGATATTACAGTGCATTAAAACTTACTTTTGCAGAAAACATATTCATTCCCAGAGAGTCTGCGCAGCCCATCCTGGAGGGAAAAAAAATGAAGAAAATGATTTTTTGAAAATGATTTTGTTTCTTGAGACAGACGGTGAGCCTATTATTCTTAACATCTGACTATTCCATTAGAACCCCAAAACAAATAATGTGGTAGCCTTGCTCAATATTTCAACTTGCACACACAGTGGAACAAACTGGAGTGAAAGATGCATTTATTGGGGAGAGTTGGTGGATTAACTAAGCATCAAAATAAACCCAACATGGAAGACTAGAAAACTGCTGTTCTCTAACTGACCACTCGAGTCTGCTTCCAAAAGTGAGCCACTCCCCCCAGAGATGGTGAAACAAGTAAAACTTCCAAACAGTTTCTTTTGTAGTTGTAGCCTTTTTTTTAGTTTTTTAGTTGTAGCCTCTGTATACCATTAAAAGTGTGTTTCATTCAGTGCAGCGCTTTAACCAATGGAGTTTAAAAGTACTGCATTAACTGTTTAGTTTAGATATTTTTATATACAGTACCCCATCTTCCGAAAGGCGCTTTCTGAAGCTGATTTTGAGTGTTGAACTTGCATTTGGTGTCTTTGTACTGGAACTCTTAACTATAAGGTCCACAGAGATATGGATGCAAGTAAAGGAGGCCATAACTAAAATAAACCCATCAGAGAGATAGTAAGAATTTTTGATGTGGCCAAATCAACAATCTGGTATATTTTTTAAAAGGATGAATGCACAGCAACACTAAAAGACAACTAAAGGGGATAATTAAAGAATTATTTTCTTGGTTAAGACAAACCTCTTGACAAGAAGACTTTTGTCAAGACTCAAAGTCTTTAATCAAGAGACGCCTTCATAAATGGACATACAGTGTTTACAACAAGGTGCAAACCACAGGTTACTTTCAAGAACAAGAAGGCCAGATAAGACTTTGTCAAAAAGAGCCTGTTTTGAAAAAACTTCTTTGGAGAGATGAATACAAGATGAGCCTGAACCATAACAATAGGAAGAGAAAAGTAGAGCTGTATCTCCTTTACCATCACATTGTCACTGAATTGATGTACTTTTGGTAGTTACTAGAAAACACAGCAGATCTATACTGCGGAGAAAAATCATACATTAAACAATTTGACTGATAGACTGCATCAGCGGTCTATAATATTGCTGCTGGAACCTAAAACTTGCTTTCAAAACAGAAATGTATGCGTGCAGTGACTCACCTCATAGTTGGGCTTATTCAACAAATTCAAATTAAATAAAAACTGTTGGCAGTACAAAAACACAAGCGTGATTGCTGAAGGCAAACATTTCACGGCTGAATGAAAATGCCTTTTTATATTTTATATGCATGAGGTAACAGTTTTACACTGTGATTAAAAACAGCCTGTTTCTTATGTCTCCTTATAAAGTGTCTCAGGCATCTCAACTTACGAACCAATGTTTAAGTACGTATACTAACTAATTCTTACACTCATAAGCCCGCCAACCAGGTCGCTTGTGTGTGGGTCATCTTCTTTGGAGGCAAGCTGAGGGGAGTAGAGCTCAGTGGTCCTCAGGATCTCCAACACACGGTCCAGAGCTTCGGCTACCGTTACTGGACTGCTCTCCTGAGCTGCATTGATGATGTTTATTACCTGGGAATGAGGGAAAAGAGTAGCCAGTTAGCAGTTAGCACTTCATGTTATTGCTGTGAAAGGTGGTCCCTCAAGCTACTAAATGCTTGATATGTTAGATATTATAAATGTGTCCAAACACTCCCAGTTTGTTCCTGAGTTACTTGGACAACAGCCACAACTTTGAAAAACATTATGAAGTCACAATAAAGCTGACTTTGGAAATAAAATGCCACTTTTTTACTTTTTCACAAACGGATGTTTCATTTTATTAGAGTACAATGCTGTCATCAAAAGAGTATGAAATTTAAAGAGTTATAACCAAGAAAAAAAAGTGTTTTTGGAGCTTCAGTGACCTTTAACAGGTTAATTCTTCTAAGTTCTTTGATGAGTCATTGTGGCTTCTTGTAATGAAAAAAAAAAAAAACCAAACAGATGGATGAACGTACATGCTGAGGGCTGGACAGACAACCCACAAACATATTGTCTCTGGCATCGAAGGATGAAAACACACTGCAAGTTGTGACTTCTGGTCATTTTTACATAGCATTTGCTTTGGTACATTTAAAGTTTATTTTACTGTAAATGATTAACTCCACTGCTTAAAGCAGCATACCTTTGTTATTGGAGCCTCAATGGTCATAGAATGAATCCTGGCCACAGAAGAGTATCTTCGATTTTGTAAACTGGGAGCTGCAATGTAGAAAACATTATGGTATTGGTATTGTGATCACTATATTATGGCTTGTGGCTTATCAGTAATAATAACATGTTTTTGGCTTTCATCAAAATGCTCATGAATGAAAGAGATAAAAAAGAGCAAGACAAAATATTTTGAGGGTGAGCAGAGGAGAAGCAGCATGCAGCTGAGATAACTTAAAATAGCAGCTGCGTCAAAGTGAGTTGAAGAGGGAGGTATGCATGTTATCAGCCCTCAACATCTCTCTGTACGATCTCTTTAGTTCAAGCACCTACCATAACACAGTCTGACTCACTCTCCAATCATTCCTTCATTCTTTCTTTCTTTACCCACTCCTATTTTGTGATCTCCTTTGCTTTATTCACATTTTTTTATTATGTTCAATCTCCTACGGTTGTTTTGTGTTCAAACATCTTCTTCAGATATTTAGCTGTAGACCATGGCTCCCGTTACATTGTGTTGTTTAGTTAGCGCTCCACACTTGCTGTACATCAGGATTGGGGCCTGTTTTGTTTATCTTCCCCTCATTATAATCTTAACTGTTATCAGCTTTAGCCAAGCCAATTGAAAATATGTTTAGATGTCTGGTTGTGCTTTTGGACTGGCGCAAACTAGAGTTGTACCAATTTAAACAGAGGCTCAAAAACATAAAACATATTTTAAATATCCTTACCGTCACTACTACGGGAGCTCACCGATCGGTCGTCCATCGAATCTTTTCTTCTGTCTCGGTGTCGTAGAGAATAGCACTCTGCGGATGGAAGTAATGCATGTAATACTATCAAGTAATTTCATCTTTGAGAATAATAACAAACCTGGACTTGTTTACTTTGGTGACCCCCTTACAATATCCACTGACATTTAAAGAGAGCATGGATAGGACAGCGGAATTTAACAAAGTAGATTTACTCAAGGACTTAGCTCGAGTACAGTTTTAATGTACTTGTAGCTTGTTTAAAGTTTACTGTTATTCAGCATTTTGCTTCAACTCCATTGCATTTACAGTGTTTTACTTTATACTCCATCACATTTATTTTAAAGCTAAAGCTGCTTAATAGTCTGCAGTCTTAAATACTGGAAATAAGGTTACCCAGCAGTTAATGAGTACTTTAAATCATCTATATGTGCAACATTAAAATGAAATACACATAAATGAACCAAAAATTATTAAACCAACAGTCTCATTTATATATTCTGCATAGATAATACTTTTGCTTTAGCTGCTTGATTTAATTTAATTTAATACACTTAACAGCCACTTTACTAGATACACTTTACTAGTACTGGGTTGGATCCCCTTTTTCCTTCAGAACTGCTTTAATTCTTTGTGACAAAGATTCAACAATGTGCAGAAAATAGTCCTCAAAAATTCTGCTCCACATGCATTTGCTTTATGTTTGTTGGCTACACATCCATGATGTAAAACGGTTGGTTATAAAATACCTTTGGGATACGGTGAAACGGGAGTTCTCTATCATATCGAGACTATCTCTCCACTCGGAATACGTGATAGTCTCTCACTCAGAGAACCAAGGTTACAATGCCTTATGCATTTGAGTACAGCCTGCTGTCATATTCACGAAACCAGTTTGAGATGATCCATCCTATTTTCTCATTGTCAGACCATTGTCGATCAACCCTGTTTTAGAACTCTATAATTTACCTTCTCCAAATGGAACCTCTGCAATTAAGAGATAAAGGAACCGTAAAAGACAAAAAAATGTTGTAAGATACCTGAGTGAGAATGTTCCCCGCTGTATCTCTCCTCCTTGTTGAACTTGTGGAGCTGGTAGACAGAGAACAAGAGATGATTAAAATCTAGGTGTGCACTGTGGATATGCATTTACTGTGATGGATATAATCAGACGCATTTGGGGCTAAAGCAAAATGCTGGATTTATTTTAACATTCTTTATATTTTTAAGAATTTGTTCCAATCTTATTTAAGCTTTCTGTATCATTTTTAAGATATAGCAGTCTATAAACATTATTGATTTAGGCAAAAGAACTGCAAGGAATATACAGGTTTGTATTACTATAACAGAGCATTTTGAATACAACCTATGTATGACTGGAGAATTCAGTATGACTATGAATACAGTATTAAAGTCGTTAAGTAAGTAAAGTGGATAGCCTACAAAGTGATCCAGTGTGTTACCAACGTGTTTGATCAGAATGGATTTATGTAGTATATAAAAATGGCATATCATAAAACGTATGTCTGCAGGACAAGATCTTAATAAATATAAACCCACCCTGTCTCTGTATCAGTGACATAGCACTTCTTAATTCAAAGACTAAAAACTAGTAACTACTTAGCATGTTAACACACACTATAGGCTCATGCACAGTGACACTAGCAGTATGCTAATTGCGTTTGATTCTTTATATAGTGATATTTATGCAATTCTTATGAGTCAAGCTAATGGTAACATACATTTCAATGCACTAAATCATAGATTCATTTATTTTTTAAAAAGTTAAGAAATTTGTGTTTGGTGGATTATTTCTTTATTGTAAGAGTGCTTTTTGGGAATAAATTTTATTTCCATTGGAAAACCGGTTTATTTCCTTGTAAGTAAAATACATCTGTGGGTTGAGCAACAGAGTTGATTACGTGGGTTGTGCCCATTAAGAAGTTGCAAAATGTCCTCTGCCAATGCTAAACAGCTTATTTTGTTATTTTCTTTTTTGTGCTAAGGTCACGTATGGCAGTTCCCTGCTCATGCCCTGAAGCTCTTGGTACACAGTTTTCATGCTGATGTTAAAAGAGTCTGAAGTCTGCACAGCGATGGAAACTTTTTTTGCGCTGTGCACTTCTTTGCACTCAGCAAATTTACATGGCCTGCTACTTTGTGGCTTAGGTGCTGTGGTTCCCAAATGTTTCCACTTTGCAATAATGTCTCTTAAGGTTGATTATGGAAGGATCTAGGAAGGAAGGAATTTCATGAACTGACCCAGTAAGATTTGTCACATTCTATTCCAGTAACTACTACACGTGATTCAGTGAACCTTTTAGAATGACCCATTCTTTCACAAATGTTTGGAAAGGCAGAACTCATGGCTATGAGTTTTTGTGTATTTTAAACTTGTTTGCTGTGTCTGCCTCTCTCTCAATATATATGTGTGTTTGCATGCATACATTTAACCCTTAAGAGCCCAGACCTATTTCTACTTTCATGAAAATTACGGGGGTCTTATATCAAATGAATCATATATAACCAAGTCTCTAAGTGTAAAGGGGCAGTGACACCAGTGTCACTGTGGGTCCTTAAGGGTTAATACAGCATATTTATATAGGTAACAATTTGCATGGTACATCCTGTTAGTCACACTCAGGTTCTTCGGTAGGGTAGAGCCTCTAATCAGGTTAAGAAGATTTTCCTTACCCAGTGACTCACTGCACCTATGCAACTTGCTGACAGCGCAACCTGCATGTTTATGCAATCATTTATGCATGTATACAAACACTGTCTATAACTGTAAATCATTTTTACATATTTAGGAAAGTGTAATTTCGCTATGGAGCATGGAAAGCTATCCCTTGAACACTTCAGCTACATGTCATTTTTAAAATCCATTTCAATCTCATAGAATTGGCTAGTTGGTCTTTCTTTATACCCCCTTTGCTTAAAGTTGCTATTAGGCATTGAGTGTGTCTCATACTGAGTAAATAGGATTAGGACAATGTAAACATGTCTAATGACATGCAAAGTTTCCAGATTTAACTGGCTACAATTTAATGTTCTTCTTGGGCTGCAAAGCACAAGCAGACATCTAAACATCTTTTAAATTGGCTTGGCTAAAGCTTGTAATAGTTGAGATTATAATGAGGGGAAAGACAAACAAAACTGACCCAAAACCTGCTGTAAGTCTGGAGTGCTAACTAAACAACACAATGAAACGGAAACCATGGTCTACAGCCAAACATCTGGGTGGGAAAAGATGAGGAGTAATGTGGGGCTTTAAGTGCCCAGAGGAAAAGATCTTAAGCGAGGATCCAATGTCATATAAATGGTATCTTGAAATGGCCTTCGTGGCCTTGGGTTGTCAAATAGATAATCTCAGTGAAGATGTACTACATGCCTCAGGTCATGATTTAGTTCTAGAGAGCCATCAAATGCTAAACCTTTGTTGCTTCTTTGCATCAATTCCCTATGGTAATTTGTGGTAAAAAATGAATAAAATCTAGAAATGACACTGTGATAATACCATCCAGTTTGACACTGCACATTTTAGGTTGTGGGGGATGACTAGAATCGGATCAGTCGCTGCCATGCCTAAGGATTCCCGGCCCCGACATGCAGGAATGACTGCCATTTGGCTTTGGCAGTCAAATGTCAGTGGCTGACTCACCTTATGCATACACGATGAAAGAGAGCAATGAGCTAAACCTAGTGCCTGTGCAGCTTTGCCCAGGGTATAAATAGCCTTGGTGCCTGGCTGCTCGCCTTCCTTAGGCCTTAGTGGGAGATCCTGGTGCTTAGTTGTAGCTTAGCATAGTATGACGTTATTGGCTGGGAACCCAGCTGAGCGTAGCGGCACCTGCTTCAGAGTAGCTTTGCATGGTGCTCAATAGTGCTGGAAGCCTGTGAGCCCACATGTTTTGTTGAGGTATTGAAGTAAATCTGACACTTTAGCCTACAGATCATTTGAAGCATTTATATAGATGTAACTGCCAGCAGAGTTTGCAATCAGTGACTAAGTGCAGTTTGGACTCAGTGGTATATTTCATCACCAGACTTGATTGGGCCAAAAAGCACTGCAGCATTAGCGCTGCTGATAGTTTGACATTTGTTTAAGCTCCACAACACAAATAATATTTTGTAGCTGCCCGTTTTCTTCTTCTCCTTCTTCTTTTTTTAACTACAAGCACCTGCATGTAGGAGCTGAATGTCATTTAGGGATGGGTAATAACCAAACACAAGAATATGATTTTTTTTTTCAACAATATGACTTTGTTGTTGAAATTGTTCTTGTCTCCTCACCCCCAACTTGGTTGCGGCAGATAGCTCCCCTTTCTGAGTCTGGTTCTGTTGGGAGGTTTCTTCCTGTTACAAGGGAGTTTTTCTTCCCACTGTTGCCAATTTCTTGCTCATAGGTGGTTGTTATTGTGATTTGGCACTACATAAATATATTAGAACTGAATCATTTAAAGATGTGGCTATAGCAAAACCCAACCAAAACCCTAAGTAAGCAAAGAAAGAGAGTCCCACATTAGAATCCTTAAGTACCTGAATGAGTAAATATTTGATTAAAACCTTTAACTTCTAGTTGTTATTGCCAAAGCTCCTGTTTCACTCCTTGTATAATGACCTCTCCTTTGCCAAGGTTTGTACAATTAGCTTCTACACACAGTACAGTATTATTAAAGAATTAGCCGTGCCTCACCCATACTAAAATTCAGTTTGGTATTTCTTTTTTGCAGTGTTAGTGACAAACTGATGGAAATGATTGTCCCTGCCTTGGGTGGAAGGAAACTTTTCAGAGTAAACGATCAGATGATCATTTCACCAACCTGATTGTTGTTGTCAATATGCGGTCTCTTGATGGCTACAAAATGTCGAATTTTCCTGTGGGAAGAGGACAGGAATCAGAGATTTCTTTCTAGGATCTGTACACTAACAACGTATGCTTGTTTAACTTGGCTTACCCTCCTTGGCCGATGACTGGTGTTATCCTCACATGCTGTTGTATGCTGTCCCCTGATTTCTTTCTGGCATAATAAATGCCCTGCCATTCCTTCAGAGACGACATGCCAGTCAGGGTATGAAATGCTGTCAGATCTCACAGATAGGTTGGATGGAGATGAATGGGTACAGGACTGACCTTTCCTTTTTTGATACAGTTGTTGATGGTGTCCAGCAGATCAGCTCTGTTCTTGTCACTCTTGGGAAGTTCAGTCAGTTCTTTCCCGATCAATTCCCCTTTGTGATAGCCCATCATCCGTTCAAATGCTGGATTCACGTACTGTGAAATAACCACAAAACTGTTAGAGTAAAAGAAAAAGTTGTATGTTTTTCTTATTGTCCTCTTGTGTCTAAATTTCCCTGATCACCTCTTCCCCATAGAGAGGGGGAAAGGACAATCTGTCTATAAGGAGGTACATGTTGTTTTGTGGTGACTTGACTTCGACTTTTTTATGTAGCACATTGTTGTTAATGTATGTAAAATCTGTAAATGTGATGCTTTGTTGTGTTTCTATTTATTTCACAATTACCGCGACCAAGACAAAAACTAAGAGAGACACAGTTTATATGTAAAGGTATTAAAGTCATAAACAGTTTTTTTGGATTAACTACTTGAGGATGAGAGCCACAGATATTACACAAATACTGACTATCACTAGCTTTGTGATTTAAAGAAAAGCTTTTGCTGCGTTGGAAGGTGTGTAATATGTTTACCTGTATTATGTGGTCCTCACTGGTGATCTCCACAGCTTCTTGGCAGTGCTCCAAGGCAGTGAAGATGGAATTACAAGCCCTGTGGATGAATAAAGCCACCATACTAAGAATTAGGAAACTCAGTACCAAAGAACACTTACACAGTATTTGTCTGTGCATGTTCACATAATTGCATGATATGATCTAAGTGTCTTTGCCCTCCACTTGTACCTGAGTTTGAACTGGCAGCGCACCTCTCCATGCTCCATCTGTATGAGCTCATTATAGCATGCTGCCACACTGTTGTTCTCCACAAACCTCTGGAGGCCAAAGAAGGTTAAGTGACATTTGAAGGAGAGAAAAGGGGTGGAAAGATTGAATGAGTCAGTAGCAAATCGTATTGAAACCTCCAACGTCATTTTCACACCATTAAAAAACATGGACAATAAGTGCCTCTTTCAAAACTGGCAACACGCTGCTGTTTAAGTGTTTAAAATCTTTAGATGATCAATGAAACGCCTCAAGGAGAAACAAGCATAACACATTGAGGGCTGCATCTGATATAAACAAAGTCACATGCACAGGAAAAAGTTGTTGGACGTACTCTGCTAAATCCAGCGCAGAGGAGAGGAAGAACAGATGGCTCTTCTTGGTCAGACGGTCTATACAGTGACAGAAAAGAATGATTACCATCTGCAACCACAATCATTTTTCAAAATCATGCTTGGAGTGGTCTGCTCAAACAATGAATGGAAAACTGTGTAGTTTAAACTCTCAAAAATCAGTCAACTTTTTTTTTAATATGAGTGATTGCATCCAAAATGAACAGCACCAACTGAAAACAACAATTGTTTCAATGGAGTTTGCAATGTAAGGTAAAGACTCTACAATAATATAGAGAAAATCCCCCAAATCTGACAACCCCCTATGAGCAAGCACTTGGCGACAGTGGTAAAGAAAAACTCCCTTTTAACAGGAAGAAGCCTCAGGCTGAACCAGGCTCAGGGGGGCGGAGCCATCTGCCGTGACTGGGTTAAAGGTGAGGAGACAAGAAGATTTTCAACAGCAAAGTCATATTATTGAAAAAAAAAAAATTCATGTTCTTGCATTTGGTTGATACCCATCCTTTTTAATAGACATTTCTTCTATTTTGAACAAACAATCTAAAAATCAAAAAGTAATACTAAATTATAACATCATCTTGCAGCTGAAACTGTTTACCATGTGACTAAAATACAATCCACCATCCAACCATAACCGTAGACAGGTTGCTGTTGACCTTGCAGATTTTAAGAGAATTATATAAAAATATATGAAAATATTTTGAGGAATAACTTTTTTTTTTGAGAAGTGTTGGAATAATCGGTTGATGTGCTGATTTTCAAATCAAAAGTCTAGTTAAAAAATTAACCTGATAGAGTTAATGGTTGCTTAATATGGTTAAAAAATGTGTAATGCTGTACATGAACCCAACATAGTAAGATAAAATGCCTTTGAAAGACTACCCCATTCAAAGGCATAGCTATCCATACTAATGGGATACTGTAAACATCTGAAGTTTGTTTTGAAGTTGAGCCTTAAAGACCTTAAAGTCTTATGTGAATAATTTTCTAATTAATTATTAACACAGAATATAAAAATTTACAAAAAAGATTAACTCAGACTTACTTTTGTGGCACAACAGCTAGAATAACTGTGTTTTCAGAGGGCTTTGTGGCACGGATCATCCTGAAAATAACACAAATACAGATACAAAGTCAGCAGGAGTTCAGGAGAAGTGGCTTGGACTCATGTACAGGACAAACATGTGGACAGATTTGGGGGTTGATGTCATTGCCTCAAAAGGAGGACAGAACATTTCTGCCCTTTACACAGAAACACCAAACCAAACATGTACCTCAGAGGATTGGCCACAAAGCCAGGCCACTGGCAAAGCGTAAGGGAAAGGGGCCAAGAGGTAGAGGAGGAATGAGTATGCAGTGTTAGAGAATGAAAGCAGGAACAGAAGGAATGGATTATGGAAGAGATCCTCATGGTGGATAAGGACGGGAGGTGGAAAAGGCAAAAAAAAAAAACATTGAGGAAAGGAGCGAAGGAGGAAACAGGGAGGAGTTGCCAAACTGTGGTATTCTGGAGACAGGGGAGATAAATGGATCTGTTCCTTTACTTGAGGAAATAATGAAGCACTTAAAATAAATCACAAGAAAATATACGGGCACAGCTTTTTACTATAGGCCAATAACTAAAAGGTCTGCAGGAAAACTAAATCAAACACATAAGTAGTAGTCACTTGTCTTGGCTAAAAATAATATGGAATAAAGTTTTTCTTTAAAAAGATGCCAAAAAATCTAAGGAACATCCAGCTTCGATTTATTTATTAAAACAAAGAATAAGCTGACTTGAAAACTTGAAAGTCAAGTTATTTAAAAGAAGAAAATTGTAGAAATGTATCCAGAACAGGTCGTTCTCAGTAAATAAATAAGTAAATGAATAAACAAATGCACACAACTCTATGAGCAGTAAGGATTTAACATCTGGCACAGGACTGGGAGTGAACGGGATCATTTCGCAGGCGCATATATTTTTGAAAAGCTGCCAGCACTGCCACGGCCACTTTGGACAAATGGGCAAAAAACCTGACTGATTTCATGTCAGCAAAGTGCAGACTCACTTTAGTGCCTGCTCAACTATGGCTTCCTATAACTTGGGAAGTTAAATATCTTGTACTTCCTTTTGGAGAAAAACTGAATAAAGAAATCTGTAAATATAACTTGGAGCATCAGGTTTCAAGTTGTAGACTTCTGTGTTGCTTTCAGTGAACACCAGATGGCACCAACCAGTCCCAAAGCTATAGGAGCTTCAGTACTCACTGCTCCTTGCTATAACTTTCGACTGATGTAGTTTGATCTATATATTGCACATGATTACGTGCAAAAAGATGTGGATTTGGTTAAATCATTTCTTTGCTAGTATTTTTTTTCTTTTTCAGTTTAAGGAGATGGTTTCCAAACATTAAAGAAGTATCAATATTCTCTTAAATATGTAATACAACACCAAATTACTTCCTAAAATGTCTTATCCCAGCTGCTGGGAGGAAATACTCTCAAAACATTCACTGAAGTGAAAATAGAGAAATTACAGAAAATATAGAACCAGTGACTCTGGTCACAAAGACTTCACTCACCGGCAAACAGCTTCAGGCTCAAAATAGCGTGAGTGACGTCCATCAATGATTATTATCTCATGGTGCTTGTCTAGGAAACATTCAACAGCAGACTCAGGCGTCCGTGCAATGTTGCACCTGAAACCAGCGCGGTCACAGGCCCACCAGAAGGCATCACTTTGGCTGTCCTCCTTTGCAAACACGAGCAAGACCTGGAGAGAGACAAGGAAATGGACATGGGGGTAACAGAGTACTTCTATTGCTGGGATAATTATAAAATAGATATTTCACTTTGTCTACTACTCAGGCAGCACACTATTCAGAACAGCAGACCAAGAACATTTTATGTGCCGGTTACATTTTTCACAAGGTTACAGGACAAATGAGGCTACTGACATGTATCAGTGAATAGCAACAGGTACAAATTCTGGCTTAAATTATATCCACTCCTCCCTTTTTTGCAGATTAACATAATGCACTGTTTATGGAGTAAGTAAGTAACTGGCTGCATGAAAGAAAAATTAAACAGCCTTATGTTGACATAATGCAAAATTATTACACTCATATCCACAGTTTTAAATCCAAATCACCACTTAATCTACCATGCATATCTTTGGACTGCGGGAAGAAACATGTAGAACATGCAAATGGCAAACAGAGAGGCCCCACCCTAATGAAGAAACCAAAAAACATGAAATACTGCTCGCATCAGGATCGCTGCCTAATGTTATTCTTACTGGAACCAAAAACAGCTCCTTCCTTTGCCTGTGCTTAAAATGTCAACAAATTTTATGAAATCCAGCCTGGTTGTTTCTTGTCTTTTGCTAAGAACAATCTATATATTATTATCATTATATTATAAGGCTACTAAACATCACAGTACATAGAGAAACGGCTAAAAAAACAGAAACAATTTATTACCTTTAACATGCATTACTCATAAAATAAGTGTGTTATTGTACCTTTAGGGATAGCCTTAGTGATGGCATGTCATGGGGGCAGTAACCTCTTAAGTCCTACCACTGTACCCTCTTTCAGGGTATTTATAATCTGGTGGTTTGCACACTGCGGGGACTGGTCTTGGACCTCTGGTGTCAGTTTTGTATCTTAATCTTGGGGTCTATCTCAGGAGCCTTTTACAGGCGACATGGAACAAAATGTACGATACAGTCCACAGAGGTCAGCAGTTCATCACAGGACGAACACATGGAGGCTGCCTTTTCACATCCACACGTACATCTAATTTTAGAACCACCAATTACCCTAACATGCATGTTTTTGGACCGTAACAGGAAATCAGAAAAACAGCCTCTCGGCACAGGAAGAACAAAGATCCTAGAGAGACTTTGCTTGGGAACATCTATCTGTTTGCCCCCTGAAATGGTTGTTCCCTTGAGGTCTAATAATGAGCCCTAAGGAGTATATTTATAGATGCACAGAGATCGAATTTTAACTTTTCTGAGAAAGTAATATATAAGAATGTATTGGTCATTTGTCTCTAGTGATGGCTTTCATTTTGAAATTAGCACATAATGTTCCCTTAGTGTTCATGTAGGCTTGACAAAACAGGAAGTTTATCTGGATGTAACGAAAAGCTAAAAACCCAACTTCATTTGTAAAGCTTGCATAACTGGGTAAAGTAAAACATAGTATTACCACCTTTATTTGTTTTGTTAGTATAGCGATGTGAGTAAAATCAAAAACTGAGAAAAATAAACAGCGGGAAAAACTGTGTCATCAGTCTTGATGTTCAGTCTCAGCTCTGTTGCTTTTTCTGGGTTGAGTTTTAATTTTCTCTCTGGCGATTTGTGGATTTCCTTCCAGAGTCCCAAGACACGCATGCAGCTTGGGAGAAATATTGGAAATTGTGCGTGCTCATCCGTGTGCTTGACTTTCCTTAGATAAGCTGGAAAACTGTGCATGGTGCCTCTCTATCTTTTGTTAAAAGCATGCTAGGAGAGTCTCCACCTGCCTGTCCCCCCCGATTCTGACTGGGGAAATTTAAAATGGATGAAATGAATAGCTGAATAACCGCCACCATGTAAACGTCATGGTAATGCCTTCTCCAAGAGGTGAATTACTGCTTTGACTGAAACTGAGCAGCGCAGAATCATGACAGACATGAAACCTGCAGAGTGAGAGCATGTTTTAGATCCCACACTGTGTTTTGACCATGAACACACCAACCACCTTTGGTACAGTGGTGAGGAAACACAACATATACACGCAGGCAGCTGGACTGCAGCCAGAATCAACAGTACTCAGCTCTGCCTCGCAGCAGCATCACCTCCTGACTCCCTCTAAGGACAACAAAGGATAGAGTGACAGATAGAGTGCATGGAAGCACAGCAGAGAGAGGGGAAAGCTAATGAGTGAGTGGGTGAAATAAGCAGAAGGGAGTCCAAGTCATGATTCTCCACAGTAAAATCAGGCAGAGAGCATTTCAGAGTGTTCCTTCACAGGCGGCGACAGAAACAATAGAAAATGAAAAAGAAGAGGTGAGACTGCCAAAAGACGATGTCAGAAGGAGAGGACAGGAGGAGAAAATGGGCTCCCATTTGTGAGTGCCTGTGAAAGATCTACAGTCTTTGATCCTGTGCTGGCTTGTGTAACCATGGTGCTAACATGTGAAATTCCACACACACAGTACCTAGCGTACCCTGGGACAACACAGACCGCACACATCTCTGACCTGCCACCCAAATATGTCACCAATGACAAGCCTGATAGGAGGCGCCGTTGGTCTTAATACCACCATCTAATATACACACAGTCAAACATATTTAAACACATGGCTGCACTCCATCACACCAACATCATATCTGTCACAGCTAGATGCCTCTCTAAATGCAACTCACTGTTAATGGTAGGCAAATGGATGTGTGTTTATGCAATTAATTGGTTACAATACCCTTAAAATACAATTTAAGTTTTTAAACCTCTCAAGCCACCCAAATGACACAGTTAGTCACAGCCTTCATAGTTTACATGAAAACACTGTTCAGCTAGCACAGAGGCTTATCCTCCTGGACTGCTGCTGTTTTCAGAGTTCAGAGGTTAATCTGCCATGTTTGCACACCCAAGTCAGATGCCATTTAACACTGGGAGACTTCCAAACAGATGTGTCACTGGGATAACTACCTTTGAGCCATTTAACTGTATATCAGGTCAAAGGGTGACCAATGAAATCTTTTCTTTCAGCTTTCCAGCTGAATTTTTTTATTTTAACAATCAACTTTTATGGGATTGCACAGCATTATCATCCCCTGTTCCCCTGTCCCGACTCTTGTATGCAAAAGCTCGCACTGCAGGATGTGCATTTTTATAAAGTCTGGATTTTAGCCAATAGATATGGAGAAAGTAGGGGAGGTTTTTATCATGTTCTCAAGCAGGTTAAGTCTTTGCTGGCAATGCTTTGCTCAATGGGGGAAGTTGCAAGACACTACAAGGTCATAAGCTCTGTAGAATTTGGATGAATATGATGGAAACTGCCCCAAAGATTAGAAAATGAAGTGATAAAAAACTGCAGAACAGGGAAACTGTAGTGTGCAGTGATACAGTATTTAAATGTGGGATAAAAATTAGAATTGGCAGGTGTGGCTCAGAAGAAACTCCACATGTGCACGCCTATTGAGATCCAAGGTAATTACAAGACAGAACAGCAGCTCAAATAGCGGTTAACAACAGTTTTGACTGAGCTAGATATTACTGGGATAAAAAGAGAGCACAAGAGTGTAAGATGACTCTCATGTAAGACTATAACAAAAGCAACTTTCCTCACTATATCTGGGGAGTTGGGAAAGTTAGTTAAAAAAGTTTTTTCCTTCATATGAATGATGTCAAAACTATAACCTGCGTAGTTTATCATGTATATTTTGGGAGTACCTCCCAGCTTAGCATATCCTACATACACATTACACACACATTTAGTTTGAAAATTGTAGACAGTGTTTAGGTCAGGCTGTTAATGAAACACTGATTTCATGCTTCTTAAATATAATTATAAAGTAATGAATTCATTAAAAATTACCTTTCAGTCAGCATTCCAGTCTAAACCTTTTTTTTTTTTTTACTTTGGCATATTTTAGCTCTGCTACTTACGTTGAGACATTACAAATGACTTTAAAGTCCCATTTTAAGATGACTTAATGATGATAATTTCACTACTGCAGTTTAAACAGTTTAAAACAAACTCATTACATTTTGCATTGTACAATTTTATGTGCTCCGATAAGCATGTTTTAAAAATTAATTAATAAATTAAATAAAAACAAAAAATAAGAAGCACAAAATCCTAACACCACTTACCTAACTAGTGTTAGGGTTGTGGTAGGATTTGGTTAATGGCCATCAATTTTAACTGGATTTTATCATATTTTGAATATCCACATGGAAAATCTTTTAAAAAGAAAAGAATTGCAATAAATAAATAATTGTCTGAGGACTTATTTCAGATAAATAAATAACCAAGTAAATCTATGTCAAAGTTAGAGGACACAAAGTCTGTATGAGTAAGTTGTTTTTCAACATATTATATCACAATAAACTAGATGTAAATCAAAGGTGTGATGCCTTTAACTTACATATAAAATTGTCAAGGATTAATTAGACACAGAAACATTGCTTTTACATTTAACAAGCTCTTATTTTTAGTAAACCAATGATAAAACTTCCTTCCATTAAGGATTCTGCTGATGAACACATGAATTATTTGAGCAACAGCTTCATATGCAATTGCAGTTGTTTATATAGTTGAGCTTACACACAAAAAGGCATTAAAAGTTTAAAGATACAAAATGACAAAAGTTTTCAACAACAGAATTACCTTTCTTTACATGGATCCGCGATATAATTACAATGCACTTTAGATTATTAATTATGTGTGTAACAAGTGAAACCACATGAAGCATTAGATAAGCTGATGGAGGAGGTATGTAGCAAATCTGAAACTCTCCAGGGCCATCAGGCAGTAATAGTAAATGTCAAGGAAAACCCACAATATATAACTCTCTCCTGCAGAACATTTTATCTCTCTTTTCATCTCTCTGTTCCTGTGGAAGGAGTGAAGTAGAGGAGGAGCGACTCAGGTCATGGATCCAGCAGAAGGTTGGACGTAAAACTAAAAGAGCAGTTTTAGGGTTTTATGGGCCATGAGATGAAGTCAAAAAAAGGCTTTTTAATAAAGCCCTCGGTCCCACCACCTGCTTGCATGCTGCCAGAGATTTCAGCTATAGTGCTTTTGGGTTTGGTAAATAAGGAGGAGGGTGAAGGGATAGAGTGGGATTCTTTAGCTCAGCATGAACACGAGTGGCATGCCAGGCCTCTCACATCACCACACTGGAGTGGGAGCTGAACTGAACTCAAAAACCCCTGGAGATGGGTCAAAGCAGCACAGCTCAAACCAAAGCAAATCAAATAAAAGCAATAAACGAGCAGCTAATAAAGTAGCAGAGCTGCTGGAATAAGGAATGCTTTGTAATCTAACCAGCTAGTCACCTCCGAGAGCTCTTACTTTCTCTGTTACATAAGGATAAATCTTGTTAGCACATGTCCTAATCCCTAACCAGAAGATGAGTACAGACAGTCCCTGACTCAACCCTACCTAAGCCCACAATATTACTCGAGTTCTTGATAGGCAAGATGAAATCTTAGCTAGACCGAAATTACAGAAGACAGACAAGGTGTCTACAGGTATTTAAGATGCATAAAATTAATATAAAATGGCTAACTATATCCAGAAAACATCACAGCAAATATGTCTTAGAGCACCGATTCAAGAATGAATGCATAGAAGATATTATTTCGGGGACATACAAAAGAAAATTTTGGACTACAAAGGCAAACAGGGTTTATGTGTGGCTAAGACCATATTTTACTTTAAATCAAAAAAGTAAATTTATCTTCAACCACTTTAGTCAGGTAAATCATTATCACAGCAAATACTGTTAACTACACTTTAGATAAAGTCACTTTATGAATAAAAATCAATCTGCAAAAGTATTCTCGTCCTTTAGTAGAGATGGAATGATTTTTTTCTGGGACAAAATCTGAAGAAGTCCTAATGTGATATAAACTATAAGCAGTATAAATGATATGAGTAGCATAGGCAGTGTATTTGTTTTTCCCTGTTTTAAATGAAGTCGCATATAGAAATTCCAACTGGACACAAACAGAGAATTCATAGTACATTTTGAATCCGTTTTGTTTATCTAGGAGACTAAATTACACTTATGGGGGTGGAAAATTTGGTGCCATAAACTGCACTCATCAGTTGTTCTTAAACATTAGATATGAACATGACCCAACGGGCTGTCTTACTCTTACCTGAATTGGCTCTTGAGACAATCTCATGGGTCCTACACATTCTTCTGTAGCTGAAACCTGTTGAAGAAACAGTGACAGCACTGAGAATGCATAAATCACTCACTTAAAAAAAAATACAGACAGAGCAAAAAGCTGTGAATATTTCTTACCATTTTACCATTAATGTCCAGCAGCATATTAGCATATTGCTTTTCCTTCCACAACCTGTCTGCCCCCGCTGCACTTCACAAACTTTAATCGTCTTCCTTACCACCCACGTTCAGTCCCCAGTGCAACAAGCCAAGTACATCCTCTTACAAGCCAGATGCGTGAAGTCAAACAGGATAACAAATAGCCTTTTAAATCTACAACAAATATCTGTATGTCTGGAGCCTTAACTACAGATTTTGTGATGACTCTTCTATGCTGCAGACACGCATATTTTCATGCCACAACACCAATCCAGAATGGAGCTGTCCGCTACAAACTTCTTTAGAAGGTATTAACCACCAGCCGCAGATTGAACTCACAGGTTTACCTGATAATCCCACTGCAGGAGCATCACATTCTGCGCTCTATATGTGTGTGCGTGTGTTTTTGCAGCTTGTCTGGACAGCTTCAGCAGGCTCCTTAAGCCCATGCGTCACTCTGATGTGAATAAGCAACTCAGCTACATGTGCATCTCTTGAGCATATGCATGCACACACATGCTTACACCACACTTCAAAATACACGTTGAGTCAGCAGTGTACCATATCATACTGTATCATAGTGGTCAACATGTGTGCAATACCCAGTTATTTATTTCTTTCTTTGTAGAAGTGGCTTTTTTTCTCATTAAAAATGGAACTTGTTATTGAATGCCCTTTGCTGCTAAAGTGTTCGTAAACACAGACTTTTAAACACTCAGTATTAAAATTCCCCTCCCCATAGAGAGAAGCTTGTATTCTTTCTATACGTAAACAGAGAGAGAGATGGAGAAAGAGTGGGAGGAGGATGTCTGTTAATTCCACAAGAAGCACCAGTGCCATAATAACGCATGCTATACACAAACTCTACTCACAGTCATACAAATTGTATGACTAAAGCAGTGAGGCAGGCAGCAGTTGATGACTTAACCACCCATCATTACAGCATTATTTGTCAGTGGTGCTTAGGCTTGAAGCTGAACATATTTCTGCCCACATTTCAAGAAGCCACTATCACAAACATCAAGACTTCTGGTACAGCACTTGAAATATAAGAAGCTTAATTTTATTAAAGCAAACAGCGACTTCCAGGACTGAAAACTGAAACTAATGGGGAAGTGGCAAAAATGACAATTTGTCAAATAGCCACTTGAGGTTTTAACATCTGTGTTAAAATGCAGCAAAATTAGCATCTCTGACTAATATCATAGGCTGCTGTGTGAAGTTTACACTCTAGTTTTTCTAGTCTGTTGCTCAGCACCAACCAACAGATAACTGTGTCTTTACATTACATCTGAGTTGGTCACTTCCACACTGGCTGGATGCTACATCCATTCCATATTCTTCTATCTCTTTTCTTTTAAATGCAGTCTATTGGGCACACATTAACCCATCTTTACATATTTCCATTTAGTGCTCCTGAACCTTTTCAGCCTCATATGTATAAAGTCCAGCACTGTTTCACCTCTGAGCCACGTAGGCTGAAAAAAACATAAAAGCACACACAGAAAAACACACATTGTCCCATGTTGTCTTGCAAATGACACACAGATATAAAGTGAGCTTTGTACCACAGTTTACTCATGCACAAAAGCATGTGCATTTTCAACTAAAGCAAAACTACTAACTTAAAAAAATAATAAAGCATGTGCACAGAAAGAGAGAGAGGGAGAGAGAGTTATATATGGAATGCCTGATTGTAATATAGTGGAGACAAAATGGTAAATGGCCTGCATTTGTATAGCGCTTTAC